CATTGTCGGCCGACGCACGGCGGTACGTTTCCTCTCTGTGGAGCGGGTATAAATCACAAGTGGCTGATTGAGCCGTGTGGTCTGTGTGCGGTCAGTGGGCGGGGTCGGCGGCCGCGGCGCCGACTGGAAGTGGTCGCGGTGTGTGCGGCAGGGAGCCGGGTCGGCGGGTCGCGGACGGGTCAGGCGGTCTGCCCCGCTACTTTCACACCCACCGCTGCCGTAGCGGCAGTAGCCGTCGGCAGTCCGTGCTCACGGCTGGTCCTGTGTGCCAACCACAGGTCACGTCACCATCCGTGACGACGGTGACACGCCGGGGCGTCCGTCACCGGCCATTGTCGCCACTGTGTGCCTGATGGCGTCCCACTGCCACTCGGTGGGTGGGGAACACACGTGTCAGGGCCGCCGGGACGCGGCGAGCCAAGGGGCGCGGCCGCGCCGGCCGACTGAATGGAGAGGATAGGCGAGACCGAGTGGGATGGAGCGGGACAGACAAGACAAGATCGAGACGGAGAGAGATGGACGCGTCCGTAACGGGCCCGGGCCGGCCCGGATAGCGCGCGGGGCGGGCCGGCGGAACGAACGGATAGCTGATGGCGAGCATTGAACGCGGCCAGTGGCGGAGAAGCGAGGAGCAGGAAGAAGCAGTGACGAAGGAAAGCGAGTTACAAACCAATATAAAGGACGGAGAAATAGTGGTGAGACAGTAAAGCAAGAAGTTTGTGACAACTTCAAATGAGCATCCCGCTGGGCGTTGTTCAGTAGTCAGTCGCCTATCGGAAAATGGTTGGCATGATGTTGGGGAATCACTAGAGCAGAACATTGACGACCGTTGCCACTTGCCAGTACTGCCTTTCCAGCGCAGCCTTTCCAGCGCGGCCTTGCCAGTGCGGCTGGCCGGCTCATTAGCCTGTAGCGGCGGCTGGTTGAATCACGTTTCATCTGCACCGGCCGCTGCGCCGCGTTAGTCAGACAACTAACGAGCTGCGAGGTCTGATGGGTCGGCCAGGGCCGTACCGACGAGCCGTGCAGCTCGTGACCCGACCCCGCTGAGGTCGTGCCGGACTCCGGCGCGCCGAGTGCTGAATGCAGCCCAGCGCTCCAACCCGGCCCGGCCTAGTCCAGACCCACAGTCAGTGCCCCGTGTGGCGGGTGAAATATGGATGTTGCGCTTAGCGCGGTTTCGCGTAGTTCCATATTGCCCGGCTGGCTTGTGTTCGACTTTGAAACAGTTACATCAGCGAGAGTCGGATGCCGCCGGACTCGCTTGCTGCCTTCCTGTGTCGGTCGACCTGCAGATCTCTGTCGAACTGGCATGCATGCGGACATTAGGCGATCCCTCTGCAATTACTGCCGATCCTGGGTCGAGGAGGCCGCAGCTGCAGCCGGCCGGCCCGCCGTGCGCCGCCCCATGTCAGAGGGGCGGCAGCGCGGTGTTACGAGCGGCGGAGCGGGGCCACTCCTCACTCGTCGACCCGCCCCGCTGCGGTGCTCGTGCGTTTACTATGGCCTGTTCATTGCATCTTTTACGACGCGCTCGACTGATCTTATCTGGCGTCGGAAGGATGTAGCCCGTGTAAACAATTCATCTGATCGCGCGTAAACCAGCGTACGCTCTGACGTTGAGCCTGAAACACGGACGCTGTTGAGTTCCTTAGAGGGTGATCAAGCCGCACAGACATGCGCTCAGATTGCGATGTTCTTGAAGAAACTAGCCCTCACCATCAATGTTTCTCGATCGTTTGACTGTGCTTTACACTTGTTAGACCACCCAACGAGCCCGCACAGTTGTGCTGAATCGAATTCAGTAACCTTGACTTTCGCCCCGGCCGGAAGTTTGACCTACCTCCGCGGCTGTGTCGGGTCGAGTCTGTGTAACTAGCGGCTATTGTGGCTGGACGGAGAGCTGGGTGGCCGACTGGCTGTGGCACAAGACGGTGGCCTCCGCCACCCACGGAGCCTGACCGTACCGGTGACCTGCAGTCTGTACGAACCCGTTCCACCTCCGTCCAACCTCTGTTCCGCTCCTTTGCCTCCGTCCCGCTAAAGGCGACAGTGTAGAACAATCAACCGCCTACGACCGCTGGTAGCCAGCCCTTGAGCGGCAGCGCAGTTGGTCTCCGACACCGTCCCGTGCAGATCCCTATCTGGTCCAACCCATCGACAGCCGGCATCCTGTCGGTCGAGCCCGCGCCAGAGTACACAGGACATGACTCACCAAGTGACTGGAGAGCATTCTTTGGTGGCCTGCCCACTGTTTGCCGCCGACAGAGTGCTCCATTTGGCCAAGGGCACGTGTTCTGGCCGCTCAGAGAAAACCCTGGCCGTGACATCCGTGAGGCTCAGCATTGTCTTCGGTTAATTACGAGACTGGGTATTTATGGAACAATGAGCGGCTAATAGAACTCGCAGAACGCCCGCTGACTTTTTCCATTGTGTGACTGCGCGCAAAACGTCCAGCGAAGTGGCCGGGCCAGAAAGCTCCAAAGCAAATAATCAAGTAACAAAGCGGAGGCGTCTGTTCCATTCACTGGGGAATGGCGGCCGTTATTTTGTTCGTGGCCAGCTTGCGTGTGTTTGTGGCAGGTTGGGAGAGGGGAAGGAGGTGTGGGGTATCGGGGTGGAGAGCGGGTAAAAGAGGATGTCAGTGGAAGGCGGCTGGCCGACGCCCCCGCCACGGCCACACATGCGATCGGCGAATAAAGCGTAATCCGCACGCGTGGTGGTAATTGCTGCAGCCCTAGTAGCGCGATAACGCCTCAGCGTGAGGTTTATTCCCCCGGATCCCAAACAATTGCTCAATTACACCGCGTTATCGCCGGCTTATTGCTCAACGTCATGGGTTGTTAGCACTGTAATTATTCAGGTGCGCATTAGTCAAGGTCGGGACGGGTCGATCGTACGGTGAGATGATTGACGAGGTGAATTCGATCTAGTCGTCACGGTGGTAACGGGCCGCCGTGCTCCGGCGCCCCGCAGCGAAACCCGCACCTGCCACTGAGCGCGTCAGACGGTCATTGGCACCGCCGGACCGTGAAATGTATCACTCAGAGCGGAGGGCGGATGGGGGCCGTCACCAGCCTCCGACCGCCGTTGGGCGGTGTCATGGCGCCCGATGACGGCCGTCATCAGGGCATGTCCGCCGCGGGTGACGCGTCCTTGGTGCGTCATCAGACCATGCAGGGGCCGAGATCAGGCGCTGGTGACGGCGGTCCCTCTCTGACGATTGGGGCCGCTCTGAGGGGTGGTTCCCCGATCAGCTCCTGCTGACGGCAGCGGCCGGGCTGGTGGTGTGACCGACCGGCCAGCCAGCCGACCGGGCGGCCCGGGTCGATACGCGGCGGCGGCGGCGGCGGCCCCCGCCTGGCACTCTGCTCTGCTGCGCGCTCTCACACGCTCTTGACCGACATTCCACCCGGGCGGCCATGGGCACGGAGCAGCCAGCGGCCGCCAGACGTCAGTCGCCCTGAGCAGGGTCAGGGCAGGGATCAGGGCGCACAGGGATCGCTCACAGAATGACCATCGGCCACCCTCAGCCAGTTGGCGTGTACAGTGTGGCTAAATTCATTTTGCGTTAGGGGGAAGATGTAGAAAAAAAGGCCGGAAAGGATGTCGTTATTTTCATAAAACTTGACTTCGACCGTTTTCATATCTTGATATGTCAAGAGAAAATGATGTAGAAATATTAAATACTGATAAAATCTTGAAGGCATTCTGATATTCGGGATGTCAAATGAGGTTTTTAAGTCGGGTCATACTAGTACATTTAAACATTTTAGTTATTCGAATGGTTGTCTTGGCGTCTTGGGAGTTTGCGAGTATCGTGTTTTTCTTGCTCCTAGACGTTTGGGTTCGAGGTTATATCATAGTGTAATGAATAACTACCACTACCCCTACCACTATGGTTATTTATTACACTATGGTTATATTATAAGTTGTGACTGCCGTGAGGATGTTTTTATTTATATTTTTAGGATGCCATTATACTTTTCATTATGGGTGGATTTCCCCGCAACATTACAATTTTGGACACACTGGGCGTGTATGGTTTTACCATTAGTGCGCGCCGATTGTTTCGTAAGTCTCGTGCGCCTTTTGCTTGGCATTGAAAAAGATGTACGCGGTCTGAATGAAAAGTTACTCATTGTCTGCGGAAACTACTGGGTGTAGATCTTCAATGGGAGGCATTTACACTAATGCAATCGCCATTTCCAACCGCGTGGATGTGATGGAAACTTACCCTGTGGTGTTGGTCAACTTGCCAAGCTTTAGGCTCGAAGGCAGAGTTTCATATGATGTGCATGTTTCGTGAACAGTGAACACTAGTGGATTCTCGCTGATATGCATTTTACACTATGTGTCTGATGCTGTCGCGTTCTCCTCTAGGCTGTGCTTGTAACAAAAGTGCCGACAGTGGCTGCGCTGTTGGTATTGGCAGAGACGGTTAACGACGGTGGTCGTAGAGGCGCTGCCATACAGGGCTCGGCTGTTCCTCGCCGTTCGCCCGGGCCGTCTGTCTGAGCCGCCGGTATATTCGTCGCCGAGACGAGCGCCGCACAGCCGCGCCATGAGCACTTGGCGGCGGGAAGACGGTGATTTAGCTGGCCCGCCGGCGACGAAATTAGTCCCCGGCCGCCGCCTCCGCCACCGTCGTCTCCGTCTGCGCTGCCGCTGGTGCGCCCACTGACACCGGCTGCGGCCGGCTCCCCGGTGACCTGCCGCAGACGGTCGGTACCGTGGGTCGCTCGCGACGCGACGCGGCGTGGTGGAGGGCTGACCTGAGGCGGCGGACCGGGCCGGGCCGGCGGGGAGGGCGCCTGTTGCCGAGCCAGCCGAGCTGCAGCAGCCGGCGCGGTGTCGACCGGCCTCTGGCGGCCTGTCCGTTCAGCCGCCGCTGCCGCCGCCAACGGCGACCGAAATAGCACGCCGGCGACCGTCGTCGGCGTCGGCGTCGGCGTCGGCCGGCGCGCTCTGTCTCTCACCCACCCTTTCCTCGCTTTCAGACGCAGCCGCGAGGTTCCGGGGCCCCGATGAGCAGACGCGGCTCGGACCCAAGGTGAGCAGTGCTGCCGGAGGTGTGTGAGTGTGAGTGAGGGCGGGCGGGCTCGTGCGTCCCCGCCGGGCCCACTGTGCAGTGAGCTGTGTGTGAGCCGCCGACCGGCCGCGCGCGGTGCGGCTGGGTGGGACGGCGCGGTGAGCGCTGTGCTGAAGGTGGGTGTCGGTGTGTGCGGGTGTGAGAGTGCACCGCTGTGGAGGGCGGCGCCGCCGCACGCCGACCCTGCTGTGCCCGGTATGTGGCCGGCCCGTGTGCAGTGTGGGCGCCGTCGCCGCCGGCCAGCCGACCGCCGTCCGCTGCTGCCTCGGCTGCTGCTGGCGAATCGATACGAACGGCGTGGCGCGATGGTCGTCCCGCGCAGCCGGCGGCGCCGGCCCGGCCGCCGTCGGCCGCTCGTCGGCACGTGAGGTGTCGCCAGCTGTGGTGTCAGGGTTACCCGGGCCGGCGCCGGCTGCGGCGGCCGTCCGTATGGGCCTGTCGGTCCCGACAGTGGCTGGGGACGCCGTGACTCGCAGGCGTCTGTCGCCGTTGCGAGTCGTTGGGAATGCGTGGGCGGGGCCGGCCGAACGGGTGGGTAAGACGTGGCACGGCACCGCCCACCGGGGCGTGGCGACCGCGCCGGGCGCTCTATGCACCGGGCGACATATGACCAGCGCGCTATTCTACATCGCTGTAATGCCACCCGTGTTGTGTCGAAGGCGCTAAGTGGCTACTGCCAATTGCCGCTTAGCGAGAACAACCTCAAGTGGGCTGTTTGCTGTAGGTCGGCAGTCCTGGAGTGGGCATAGGGACGTCAGAAAAAGGGTAACACGATACCAGTCAGCTTAGGACAATGACTCGCAAGCCGTCAGAAAAACGCGGTGCGTGGGTGAACACTTGTGCGCCCGTCTCGCGACACGCCGCAAATCGTCCATCCCAGCTGTCGCTCTGTCTTGGGCTCGGCGACGCTGCCAAGTAGGACGCCATTTGGCACGTCAGGACGGCGATTGTCTGCCGCTCGGCGTCCGACGGTGCGCTCGTGAAATGTTTGCAACAGGCGCATTGCGGTTACGGCTGGCGGCGCCCGGGCGGAACACCCATCCCGGCGGCGGCGGCTGTGGTGTCTATATCGGCGGCGCGGCGGTGCGGTACCGGCGCCGGCGGCGGCGGCGGTGCGCACCGTTGCAGATCTGGCACGGGGTCAGGCTCGGCCGCAGACGGCGCGGGGCCGGCGCGAGAAATGGACCTCTAAACAGGCTGAGGGGGATAGGCGCGTCCGGTCCCGTCCCAGGGACGGCCGCTGCCGTGAGCCCTGAGTCCGAAATAGCCGCACACTCGGACACGGCCCATGAAATTTATGTTTTAGTGTTTGTTAATTTTATCACGCCACGACTGAGCCTCGGTAGCGGCCGGTGGCTGCCGCCGGCGCCGTATTCCGGCCACGACCGGACGTGTGCGGCGCCGCGAAATTGCCGCACAACGTCTAAAGCCGAGCGGGATGACCATCACGGGTCGGCGCGCCCCAAAACTCAATCATCATTGGCGTAACTGCGCCGGGGGCGCGCCGGCCGATCGCGGCCCAATTGGCCCGATTGGCCCACCGCTAATGCTGGAATCGTACATGGGTGAAAGTCGCTCGCCACGCGGTGGGCCTTTCACGGAGCTGGCCGGTCCGTGACGGGGCGAACGGAGGGGAGGGGAAGAGGTGCCGACACGGGCACAGTCTCGTGTGTTGTTCTGTGCAGTGTTTTGTGACGTTCGTCATTGTGTTGTGCTGTGATGGTAGGCACACTGCCAGCCTGTCCCTCTGTGTATTACTGGGCGTTTTGTCGTGTTGTGCTGTGAAGGTATGCGTGGCTCCGACAGTGGCTAAATAAACTGAGACTGATCAGTTTCCCTGGGCCGCTGATATATTGTTTTTGTTGCTTCATTTTCATGTTTAGTTGATACATTTGCTTTTTCGAAACACATTTGATATGTAGCTATATTCTTAAGTACCGTAAAGTGGGGCTATTTGAGACAGTGGGGCTATTTGAGACAGTAAGGTAATGGTATAGTAAAATCGCTGTAAAATGAAAACCGTTTGATGTTTTTTCGTCATTTTTGCTTAAGCTGATGTGGAATTGAACAATGAATGCTCTGAATAACCTTTTTGAAAATTTCGAAAAGTTCTGAAAGAAATTTGCAATAAAATACGAAATACAGAAAAACGCACAATTTAAGTTGCTCTAAAAGGACCCCTACCTGCAGTTTAAAAAAGTTGAAGTATTAACAGCTTCGCCACTGTATCTATCGCTACTACCTTTTTGCTTATAGGTTAAGCACATTTTTCATGAAAATATTATATATTGTTAACGGTACTGCCGATTGCGTAACCCATCTCAGAATCCCGATGATGCCCACCTGGTCAAACCTCAACGGATATGCCAAATAGCTGATGATAACGGTGATGCGATGCACCCGAGAAGACTTACCGCCATCTACCTGAAGTGCATCGAACGTTCGACATAAGCAACACCGGTGAATCGGTCGTGGTCATAAACGTGCAGTGGGTTCATGGTAGGTACTTTTAGCAGCAAGCAATATTTACATGTTCGTAGTGTAACATAATAACCCTTTAGCTGGTGACCAAACTAGTTATTCTGATGAATATGTGCTTAAAATGTGCTTCATCAGTCACTGACTCATTCGACAATCAACAAATGTCTACCTTGGTTGACCAAAAAACACCATCGAATGTTACTTAACACATGAACGTACTGTTAGGTGAGCCTATCCAAGTACTTGATGTGGTAGGGTAACCGGCCAATTGATACGGCATGCAGCGATCGAGGAAAATCGGCATAAAATCAAAACCGTTTAACATTTTTCTGTTATTTCTTCGCATGGAGATGTACAATGGAACAAACAATCATGCAGACCATTGACTCAAATGTTTTGGGAAACCTTTTGCCTTGTTTGATTCATTACAGTGTGCTTCATAAGGTAGCGAGACTGTCTCAAATAGCCCCACCGACTTTCGGTATATCTGTTTTCACGTCACCGGGGCTATATACAAAAACTTACTTTCAAAATTTTACTGTCGATGACTTTAAAATAGTCCTTGATGATCATCCTGTCAGTTTGAAAGCTATGGGTCACATCATATTATGATAGCCTTAGCATATAGTGATGCAATTTTATACCCTACCGAAATGAAGTGTCCTACGAAAAAGGAAAAGATTGAATATAAAGGTCATATAACAGTCTTTGAAAAAAACAATTTTTGCCAAAATGATCAAAATTCAATTTCCAAATGCATGGCGTTTAAAAAATTATCTCTAGCGTGACCGATTTTCTTTAATTTCCTTGCAACTAAAACTGTCTCAAATAGCCCCACCCTATGGGGCTATTTGAGACAGGCTTTAACATAAAAAATAACCTCAGTCATTATTACTAGCTGAACCAAAATACACCTATATGAAAGAGCTCACAGAGAACTACATTTTTGCAATTTACATGCTATAAGAAATATGAGCCGTCTTAAAGGGAGAGGCCAAAAACTGTAAAATCCGTTTCAAATAGCCCCACTTTACGGTATTGAGTTAGTGCACTGCATATGCGATTATGTGGGTTATGTTTCATTGTATACTAGTTGCACTACTAACCAGTGCTCGATTCAGGATACTTACGTGTTGATGGCTCCGTTTTTGCCATTTCGTGCTCGCCACGAATTATGGCTGACGTGCCGGCCTAAAAAGCTTCCGTGGGTATTTTCTGTCGACTGTCTGTGCAGGGGCAGTCTCAGACACGTCAGCCGTCGTGAACTCATCGCTCGATGGACGTGAAAGATAACGCGACTCGGCTCATGACGCAGCATGACTGTTGCGTGACTTGCGCAGGTTTCCTTTCATTCATCATGTGAGCATTTAATGGCCGGGCCGGTTGGCGGCTGACCTGACCCCAGATCAACGAGATATGTAAGCCTTGCCCGCCTATCTTTCCGACATGACACGGTGAACCCCTGTGGTTTGAGGCTGTACGAAGGGAAGGCTGCGCTGGGACGTTTGGCCTCCCCTCGCTGACTCACTATAGCGTTGTAGGTTTGGTGGTAGTAGGTATTGATATTACCGTATCGGTACCGATTCAGTTGTGATTGCTCGGTGCGGGGACGATCCCGTGGCTCTCATTCGATCTACTACTTCAGATAAGATGGACCAAGATTGCCGACCTGAATGCCTTTGCGATTTGCACGTGTCTCATCAATACATCCAACCTACGTACTCTGAAGCCAATGAGCTGTTCTGGCTGCCAAAAGAAACAAACGAGCGCAATTGATAGCGGGCCCGATCTATTGCGGAGAGCTTTATCATGCCGGTGGTTGACAAGCAACAACTCGTGATAATACATTTAGTCACGGCTTATGCGGTCGATAAGGAAGACTAGGGTGTAAATCTCTGGCGTATTGCCTCGGCGGCCGTAAAGATACCGATCGCTGCTGTGCGGATCTCTGGTTTGTGCAGCGTGACTTCACTGCGACACCCGCGACTATAATTAGCCGGTAATGATGGTATTGGACGGCGTGTGTCGTGTATGCGCTGCATACTGAGCAGTGTGCTCGGGCCGCCGTCTCCCGGAGGTGCCTGTAGTCTGTGGAGAACCGGTCTCCACCCGAACCCCGTGCCCTCCGTATACCCCGGCTCCTACAGCCGTGTTAAGTTGCCGTCCTAGGATGGCTCAATTTGTCTGGTACTGTGTCTTTTCCGTTGGACTGGGAATCGATAGGCAAGAACAAGTAACAACTTAGTTGTAAGAAAATGAAAGCAATGCAATTCCCTGGCAAATTGATGTCAATAGCCCAATTGCGAGAGATGGCATCATAATGCAAACATATTATTATTCTTGACTTACCTACTTTGAGATGATGATTTTTTTTTAAATTGTATGCTTCTGTCGGTAGTCAGGCTAAATTTGCGTGACCAATGTGACATTTTTCACATATGATGGTCTTTCCGCTCATCGCCTTTTAAACTTAGAACGGTGAGCAAAGTTGGAGTTACCGTCGCGTGCTCGGAAATGAATCCATTCATTCTGCTGCTCATGAGTCAGTCCCCAAAAGTGTGGTGTCATATCCTTTCGGGGCTCCTCGCATGTCGAAGGGTGGCCATGCTCAGGAACAAGTTGCTATGTGGACCGCGGCCCTAATGGAGGCGCCAAACCTGATTTGTGCTCTTGCCTGTCTTGTTGAGTGGTTGCTTGCTCCTAAGTCGATAGGGATCACTCAGACCGACGAATTTCTAAATGGACTTTGAGCGTCCCAGTTGAGACGTCTCGAATGTGGCACCGTCACGGATGTGTATAAATACTGCTGAATGGCACGCTGGCTGGCATACCAAATCAAGGGAGTGGAATTTGTCGTATTTGGCGTCTAAGTGCCGATCTAACTTGTGGTTATTTACTGAGTACACCGCTCACGAAGCCACGATGTCGAGACGCCTGTTGGATGACTGTATTTGACTATTGTATGACCGGTGGGTCAGTTTGCTTTCGACTTTAGCGGCAAGGGTTGTTGTGTGATGAAAAGTGTCTGTTGTCTTCGGGACTTTTCTCGATGGGCATGCATATCACATATATGCCAAAGGGGGATACCAGTGGTGGATTGGCATTAATTTCAGATTCGGAACCGGTGGAGTTTATGCCAAGTTGGACCTTTCTTCAGTGAGAGGTCTGGTTTGCCACAGATACTCCCGCCGTGAGGCTAATGACGCCTACTAGAGTTGACGGACTAGCGTTATTTTACTAATCACAGCTCCCGTAACATGAATCTCGACACCATTCGCCGACTGCGGCTCATTCGAGAACAGTTACTGTGCTCTGGCGCGCCTCGTCTAATTCTGTTGACGAGTTTAATCGTCATAATTTGCGTACAGATGCGTGATTGCGAGTGACGACCGTGTAACTGGCTTATCAACACGAGTGTATAAACTTTGGGCCAATTCCGAACGTCGGCTCCTGAGATACTTTCTCCGTGACGCGGGGTTATTATTTAATTAATCAAAGAGTATACAAGGAAATTGTTTCCGGCGAGACTCTCGAAATTGCGGAGCAGCGCAGAACCCCTGGTTAGTTTCCTAGTCAAATTAAAGCTGCGTTATTGCATTAGTACATTAAGATTCGCAATCGCTTGCTTAGCTCCTTATTTAGGTGCAAAGGACTCATGTGTGTTCCGTATTGCCACTGTGTTTTATGTTCCCGAATGTCATGTAGTTGATGTACTTCAATGATACTGATGTGGGCTCATCGCACACCTGTTTCCCAGGTGTTGCCTGAAATCGTGAGGAAAACCTGAACCTCGCCTATAGCCGTTTTCCTCGCTGTTCTTCCTGTCTCAGCCCAGTCACACACAGCGGGGCGGGCTGATTTCTGGTCGGGGAGGGAACTGTCATTGTCCATTATTTAGAACATCAGGCGAACAATAGCTTCCGATCTCTGGCTCACCTAGTTAATTTTTCAATCTAATTTGTAATTGAATGGCTACGGCATTGACGAAACTAAGAAGTTAGTTATTATGAAGAATAGTTCATTATTTTGTGAGCGCACGAAACGGCGTCACAGGAAGCGTTCTTTTCGAGCTACAGCTTCATTGACAGGTACCGGTTTTCCTTTCATAGTAAGAACATATTTTTTACTCAGCCATTTTTCTCTGGACTGCTTGAACACCCGGCACCGAATTAACTGCAAAACCCTGGCTGGTGATGTAGCTATAATAACAGCCATGAACAGAAACCTCACATTTTGAAGTAATTCTATTAAAATCTGACATTTCAAGTGCAAATTCTCAACGGTTCTGACGCCTTCAGATAACCATATACAGCTGGTATGCTACTTTGAATAATTTAAGTAAACATTATGTTGCAAGAGGCGAGAGTTTGCTTCTCCCGACTACCACAAACAGACCTGCACGCATATTGTGCATGCATTATTAAAAAATATTGGATCTAAACGCCAGGGTTTGGTGCCTTTTTTCCTTTGGGGCATCTGTATGCCTTAAATCGGAATGATATGACAGCTGAATGCCCATCATTGCTGCATATTTCCCCTTGGACAGTAGTATTGACCGGCGGTGCCCGTTGCTATGCTATTATACAGGGCGTTCAGGCCACCTAATCCTATATAACGTGCCCACTTTTGGAGTGGGATTGTTGAATGCTCGGGAGGATTAGCTAAAGGGCAACTGGCGTGTTTTTATCGAAATGTTATGGCCTTCATTTTAGTTAACGACCAAAGCGTTGGCGGTGACGCCGGCAGCGGCGACCGTAGCCAAAGGCTCCGCCACACGGGTGATGGCTATAAAAACCCGACCGTTGAGCTGCGCGGCTGCATTTTAATCTCGGAGGACTTTTTGTTGGATGGCCGGTTTCACCCAGGGAAGTCGTTTACCAGATGTAGCAATCACGTTTGCTGCATTGTTTCATCCTAACTGCGGCATAAAATATGGCCCGCGGATGTGTTGTGAAGTGTATTGATGACTGCCGGCCTGCGATCTGCAGTGTCCGAGCAGCAGCCGTCAGCCTGTTGGCAGACATCAGACCGGCCGGCGCCGGCCGGCCGGCTGCGCGCGCCCGGCCCCCGTCTCGTCTCGTCCCGTCCCGTCTGCCGGCTGCCAACCGGTCTGACGGGGCGGGCGGTGGCCCGGTCGGCAAGCGAGCGAGCCGGGAAGGCTGGCTGGGCCCGTCCCGGCGGACCGGCTGGCTCAACGCCCACCGACCGACCGACCGACCGGCTAACCAGCCTGCCGAGCGACCGCTCCCGATTGTACAGGTCGGGAGGGCCAAGGGGCGGCCGACTGGTTTGGCCGGGACACGGGCGTAGTCCAGTGGGCGCAGACCAGCCAGGTGTGGCTACTGACAGGCCACCGCCTTACACCCGTGGGAAAGACGGCCACGGTGGTCGGCGTCGGAATTCGCAGTCACCCTGTTTGATTGGGGTGCGCTCCTTTCGCCGATTGCGCTGCAGAAATGGGGAATGGGGATAGCTGTCGAGATTGACTGATTCGATGCGGTGGGCGCCCCGTCTCGGTCTCGGTCCAGACATGGTGGCTTTGTTTCGCTCCATCTGTCCGGCGGAGCGTGCTGCCGGAGTGGGGCTCGCCGCCGTCGGCCTGTTTCATCAGTGGCAGAGTGCGCGCACCGCTCGGATGGAAGTCGCCGCACGTCGGTTTTCGTTGGTCATTGACAGCGAACCAGTGGCGGGCGCCGACGCCAAATATTTGGCAACGCCGGTCAACAGCGCGGCCTATTCCTGTTCGGAGCCGCTCGGCGTCGACCGACTCGACTCTCGAGTGCTCGGTGCTCTGTGGGTATCGCTGTCCGGCCCGAGCGGGGCTCGGTGGCTGCGGAGCGACCCAGTCTGCCCCAGACAGGGATGTTTATATCACACCTCCGACCTTGCTGCCCGTGTGACACACCGCCCGGTCGGCCTGCGTGCTGTCAGCGCCGTGCCTGACCTCGGCCGCCGGCGTACCCGCCGTGCTGTCGAAGGTCGTCGACGGCACGCGCAGCCCGCCCAAATTTGGCCACTCTGATGTTTTGCCGAGCGTGTAAGTACGTGCCGAATGTGCGGAAGCGACGCGGAACCGGTTTCGTTGGTCCTGCCTCAACAGTGCGGCGCTTGGGTCCTGTGCAATCTGGGACGAACCTCGTGTCTGTGTGTGTGTGTCTGCTGTCTGTGTTTATGTGTGTGTGATGCGTCTGTGGCCGCAGCTACTGGCGTCTACCAGCTCGATGACTGACCGGCGCCTCTCCTCTTCTGTCGACAGCTAGAGGAGACACTCGTGGCCCCGCCCAATCAGCATGGCGACCATAGACGGTCGCCCGGCCCAGTATGGGGTCACCCTCAAACAGCTGCGCGAACTCATGGAGTTCCGCGGCCACGAGGCGCTCGAGCGCATCAACAGCGAGTTTGGCGGCGTGCTGGAGATCTGCAAAAAGCTCTACACGTCGCCACAGGATGGTGAGTGGCCGGTGACGGGCTGCAGGCCAGGTAGAAGTGACTGAAAGAAAGGGGACTGTATGAGGAGCCTCAGAGCTGAAAGTAAAGCAGAAGTGTGGATATGAGAAGGTGCGATGCCTAGTAATTTATTTCAATATTGCAAAGCACTGATGCATATGGTCTTAGTCTTCACACAAGGTTTGAATTCGTATCCTGCTACGACCCGGCACAATATGTCGTATTATTCACTCTCAATGTTTGTATTACATAGCGTCCCGTATCGTCCTCTGTATTGTTTCTCCACCTGTCCCGGCTCCGGCCGCCCCACTGACCAGCCGTGCCGTGGCGTGTAGGCTCGGATCGTGTTTACAATCGGTGCCGCCCGGGTAATTATAGATGACCTCCACAGCCGCGACCTATGACATATTGAGCCTGTTGGTCAACACCGGCTATTTGGGGACCGGCCGGCCGGCAATGAGGTGGCTACTCGCCTTGTGATGTGTCATTACTCATTTACTACGCGCCTGCGTGGGTGGAAGGACTGACAACGGTGCGTTTGGCTTTCGCAGGCTTGAGTGGGAGCCCGCAAGATCTTCAACATAGGAAAGAGAATTTCGGGTCAAATATCATCCCTCCGAAGCCGCCAAAGAAGTTCATAGAGCTGGTGTGGGAGGCTCTGCAGGACACCACACTCATCATTTTGATAATCGCCGCTATCGTGTCGTTAGGTCTATCCTTCTATCACCCAGCAGAGGAGGAAGGTGAGTAACTCGCCAATCGCCGCCGATCTAACTAGTTTCATTAGCGTTCGTATGTTTTCAGTGGCACGAAATGTCAGCGGACGGTGCCGCGTTAGGGGGATGATTGGACATGACGTACTAATTGCCGAGGCGCGGTCGTATTACGCGGCATGCGAGCGCGGTGTGTGCGTGTGCCGCGTGTCAAATCGCTCATCAGGGCGCTTGTTGCCGCGCTTATGGCGGCCGCAGGCTGTTGCCGGTGGTGCGGGTCTGAGCCGCGGCTACTCGGCTATTCATGACTTCCGTCGCTGCTGACAGCGGCGGCGGCGTAAGCTAATTGAGCGAGGCTTTCCGGCGCCGCGCACTTGTCGGTCGTATACGGTGCAGTGATAAAGCTGTCTTTCTCTCTCTCTCCCCACTGCGGCCGTGCAGAGGAAGCAGGAGGTAAGTCCCTCTCCCTGGTCAGTGAGCAGGGTATGTGTAACGTCGATTTCATCCACGACGGTCGGATCGGCCACCGGCGTGCAATGATGTGTCTGTTCGGGCTGTGCCGGTATCAGCGGCAGCACTGGACCGGCGGCGCCGCACGCCGCTCGATGGTGCCGCGCTGTTTATAAGAGTCAGCGCTGGCCTGGCCTTCGTGCGGCATCTCCGGCCGGCCGGCTGCTCGATCGATGTCCCGAGGCGGCGGCGGCGGCGGTGGTGGTGGCAGGTCGGACCGCCGTCTGCGCGCGTCGCCGCCTCGCTCTGCGCGCGCTGCCGCCGCCGCCGCCTGCCGCCCGCCTGGCACCAATTCTTTGCCGCTGGATAGCCGCTGGGCCGCCGGCGTACCGCATTCGGTGATTATCTTGAAAGCGCTGCGGAATCCGGTGCCGTCGCTATTTTTACGGCCGGTCCTCGAGACCTTCTCTGCCACAGAGAGCGAGAGCAGAGACTGGGGCCGGAGCAGGGATGGAGCAAGGGCTGGAAGACCGGGCCCGGCTGGGGAGTGGTGGGGTATGCGTCCAGCCTGGGTCAGTAGTTGGGGCCGGCGGTGCGCCCGTCCGCCGGTCCGTCTGTCGATGGTATCGGGAGCGACACCCCGCCGTCCGCTGCCGGCCGGCCGTAATGAGCTTTCACTGACCGGCTTCCCTCGTATGACGCCACCGGTGCCGGCGCGGGCGGCCCGGCGGCGTGCCGTGCCGTCCCTCCGACCCCGCCCTGAATTCCCCGGCGCCCGGGCATGTGGGCTGGCCGTGTGTGAGACTGACAACGTCCCTCAGCTGATTGTAATTAGCCAATTAGCTGAAAGGGTGTTGAAATATTGCTCTGTGTTTACCTCGTCCTGAATCCTGAACGTTTCCTCTGTATCCTGTCCTTTCCAGAAGGTGACCTGCCCGACTCCTACCGTCCGGACGATGACGAAGGTACTGACCCGACCGGGCGGCCCCCAGCCGACTCGCGGCGCGCCCTGATTATGATGAGCCCCGCCAGGATGAGTCGTTGTTCCGTGCCCAGCGCCGGTTTGGGGTGTAATGCCCGGACCCAAACAGGCCTCTCCGGAGTGGCCGCGAGATTAAAGTAGCGCCCCAGAGCGTTATATGTTGATGTCCATTCTGTTAACTGCTCTGACCTTTTAGGGCATTGGGTCAGTCGGTCCGTGCGCGGAAAAGTCGAGTATAGTTTGGGAATGATATTGCTGGGTGTCACGCCGTGGATAATTTTGTTTTTACGCAGAACGCCAGATTGGGTCGACTGTTAGAAAACTTTAAGCATAATTCAGCGTTCCTATGCACCACCGATCGTTACATTTCGTCGCACTTTCTGTCGCCGCCCTGTTGATTGTGACTGTTCTGACGCTCGCTGTTTTCCGTTCACAGTCGTCCGGTCAGGAGGCACCGACGAATCGGAGTCGCACGCCAACTGGATTGAGGGTGTGGCCATCCTCGTGTCTGTGATAGTTGTTGTACTAGTCACTGCCTTCAACGATTGGTCAAAGGAGAAGCAGTTCCGCGGCCTCCAGAGCCGGATAGAGGGCGAGCACAAATTTTCCGTTATCCGGGGAGGCGCTGCGCACGAGATCATTGTCGGCGACATTCTTGTTGGCGACATCTGTCAGGTGAGTTACCGTCACATATCTAAGGTGTTTTATCTCCATTTGGATGTAATGCCAGTGATTTATTTTCCGCTGGTGTCTCACTGCGCGGAGTGCTAGTTTTTATGGTGATGCCATTTCCGTGTTGGACACACTGTGGTGTCATCACGACTCGCTCGTGATGACGCTTACCACCGGACGCGTTAGCTGCTGTCACTAGCCGGGCGGTCGTGGCTTCACAGGCGTCAGTGCGGCCTGGGACAAAGGCTGGGGGTTGCACTGGTGCCACTGCTGACCTCACCACCGCAGTGTGTCGGCGGTGACGCGCGACTGCACCGCTTCCGGTGGAACCGCGACACTGACGCCACCGCGCCCGGTTGCAGATCAAATATGGCGACCTGCTGCCGGCCGATGGTATCCTCATCCAGGGCAACGACATCAAGATCGACGAGTCGTCGCTCACTGGCGAGTCGGACCACGTCAAAAAGGGCGAGAAGTCGGACCCTATGCTGCTCTCAGGTAGGCTGGCTGGCTGGCTGACGTGACGCCGTTACGTAGGTGCGGACGTGTGACTATGCTCGTGACGCGCCAATAGCGATGGTGGGGGGGGGGGGGAAGAATCGGCCTGACCTCACGGCACGCTCGTAGGGGTACTGCAGGGTCAGTCGGCGACCATTTGCCGTCGCTATGGCCGCTTATTTGCGCGAGTTTGGTGTTCTGCGAAGCGGCAGTGATACGGTTTCGATTCGCGATCGACGCCGTGCTAAATTTACCAGCAGGGTTCCAGTGAGTTCACTGGGTGCCAGGTGGTCGTATGTGCCGAGTTCGGTGTTAGGTAAAGGTTGGATGGGACTTTGACCGGGACTTGGGCGCAGTCAAATGGGAAGTTGTGCGTTAAAAGGAAAAGTTTTGCGATGTTTCACTGGCTGAACGGCTGGTGGAGTTGACGGCAGTTGTTTTGCCGATCGCCGACTGGTGCGCTGTGCGCCGGCAGGCACCCACGTGATGGAAGGCAGCGGCAAGATGCTGGTGACGGCGGTGGGCGTCAACTCTCAGGCCGGCATCATCTTCACGCTGCTGGGAGCGGCCGCGGAGGAGGAGCAGAAGGAGGCCAAGAGGCGGCGCAAAGGTAGCGCGCCGCGCGCACGGCCGCCGGCCCGCTCGGCATGTCCCCCCCCCCGCCCCGCCCCCGGACCGGGCCCCGAGCCGAGCCGAGCTGGCCGGCACCGGGGGCCCCGTCCCTCCCCGCCCCCCGCCCCCACCCGGCCCGACCCGGCCCTGGAGCACTTCAGAGTGCCACGAACGCGCCTGGTTTTATACTTGATCGTGATTGGTCATGGTAGATCATTTGCAGTGATGTGTGACCTAGATATTTTCATCGAATAGACTAGGGAATGATAATTGTCCCCTTGATAGATTTCGCCCTGGTTTTAGCAATAACTGCATGTGTATCGATAAACCTGAGCTCTTTACACAGACTCTCATAGTTGGACTGGTTTGTTTGGTTTTGTTCACTAACATGGTTTTATTTCAACACGCTCTTCTCCGTGTAGAGGCCAAAAAGCAGCGAAAAGCCCGGAAGAATACCGCAGGTGACAATCAAAATCCTTTGAGCTGAATGACGCTGAATGGCTGAAAGCAATGACACTCTCTCCACTCTGCCTTGTCCTCTTGAGTTTTCTCTTCTCTCTCAATGCTTGCGATTTTGGCACACAACTGTCCCTAATTGTTGGCGAGCTTCCCAAGACCAACTGGAGAGAGTGCTTCTCCGTGTGATGTGCTCTTCGTGCGGAGGTGATTACCGATTGGCAGAAACTTCTGAGAGACATTTTAATGAATTCTGAACCTCATACTACAGACACCACACTGTACAGAAGTTTATTCAATCGCAAATTTCCTTTCATAAGCGTTGATTGCAATTTTTCGTTTGAAGTCTTAGTGTGCAACCTTTGAATGATGGAATGACTTTTAAATAAATTTACATAAATGGCCCTAAATTTTTGTAGCAAGCTTTTGCCAGTGTGCTCACCTCTGCTGGCTCGCCTCTGAAGGCCGCGGCTGTCTCTGTGTCTGAATCTATTTGGCTCTGTGTCTATCCCTCTCTCTCTCTCGCCGCCCTGTTTGTGCCTTGTGGCGAGCGACGCGCGCACTCTCTGAGCTGCACGGTGACTGCCGCCTGCCGCCGCTGCCTCTCGGCCTGAGGAACCCCCAGCCGTTCCGATCCGTCCCCCGTCCGATCGCGGTCACACACGACCGTCCCGCGCGCCGGAGGGCTTCCCGCGCGCAGTCCCGGCGCGCCGCCCAGCGCGTCCTCCGGCCGCCGCGCCGCCGCCATTGCTCGGTGGTTTTTGCGCGCCGTTTGCACTTTGATGATCTGAGACGTATCGCCGCTGGCAGTCGTCCTGACGTCCGGTCGGATGGAGTTTTCCGAGCGGCTGCGTCTGAAATTGGTGTACTGCGTGAAACGGTTGAACTGGATGATAGGAGCTGCGTGATATTTGGGGTAGTAATGGTGGATGAAGCGTGGTCATAGATCTCCTCAGATATCCAAAAACGGGACTGGTCGCACTTCTATTTGCATTTACAGACTTTCCACTTAAAAAATGTACATACTCGTATAGATGCAATCAGTTCTTCTTTGGAAGCATAGGGGGTCGATGCAATGTATAATTGCTTTCGTACCATTGTAAAGTAAGTCATGAGTCAACCACGGCGTTCATTTGTAAATATTTGGTGTCTCACTACTTTACACATCCCTGCTTTATGTATAAACGTGGAGCACTGTGAAAGTCTGCTGAGTCAGCTGTGGTTTCCTGAAGGACTGCTTTTTGTCCTGTCCCGTCAATGAAAAATGTACATATATCGTCCGCTTGTGCTGACGAGTCGCGCATTTAAGCAGAAGACATTTTTTGCCAACTACGAGAATATCGGGGCATTTTGGTTGATAAAAATTGCATTGAATGACCACCGATTCTTATTCCTTCTTTATCATCCTCGCTAGGTGAGAAACATGATCTCTTATTAGTCGAAACCCACCATAAAATTATGATTTCGTTCGGTTTGGTTTGTCCCGTTCCGCGGGCCGATTTTGCCAGCACCGCTTCTCCGTGGTGAGGTGTTGGTCTCTGTGCCGCGGATGCCGGCCGCTTCTGCACGTGCCCGGTGGCGGCCGGTGCCCGCCCCGTCACCGCCTGTGTGCTCCGGTGGCGGCTCACATCCCTCACAGCCGCGCAGTGCATCCGTGTGTGCATTCCTGTGTCCTGTCCGTCGCCCGTGAGTCACTCTGTCACCACTGGTCTCTTTGTGTCCCAATTTCGTCCCACGGCGTCCTGTCCTGTTTCCAGAGCCGTTCCAGCGCGTGGGCCCGTCGGGCAGTGAGCGCATCCAGAACATCCTCAACCCGCGCACCAGTAGCGACGACGTCCTGGCCTCGGACGGTACCGTCCGTCCCACCGCCTCTCCTACGCTATGTCTGAGCCCCCCCCCTCTCTCTCTCTCTCTCTCTCTCTCTCTCTCTCTCTCTCTCTCTCTCTCTCTCTCTCTCCCTTTTTCTCCAACTCTCCCCTCTCCCTTGGTCCTAAGCTGTGTACCAGTTCGTTATTTTTTCTCCAACCCTCTTCCTTCTCTCTCATCCCACCCTAGCTTCCTTTTCTCTCTGTCCGCTCTTTCTTCAATGCACCTTTTCTGTCATAAATGTCTTGTATTTCCTGGAAGTATTTTTGCAAGCTAGTTATTGCCCGCATAATTCTTTTCTGGTAAAAATACGAATGTAAATCACTCCTAGTTTCGTCCAAAAATCCTTTTTCGGAAATGCTTTCTTTGTTGTTCTTTATTGGCTTGTTAGAGATGTTAACGTGATTTCGCTCTAAATTACCTGTTTTCCTTCTCCGGTCCCTTTGTTGTTTCCTTTGTGTTCGGCCTTGCGGCTTTCACAGTGACTACAGCACCCTCACTGGTCCGCCTGATTCATACCGCCTGATTCGACTGCGTGCTAGAGCATGTGCTTGCCAGCTGCTTTGCGAGTGTGATTGCCAGTGTGTTGGATGATGTGTCCACTGTTTTGCACCATTGTAATAAATCTTCAAGGCGTGCTGCACGATTCACTTAAACTGTAAACTGTTACATCGCTTCATATGCTGGCTGAATCGCCTCATATCATTGTCGCCTCGTTGCAGCCGCCTATGTTAAATATATTCAGCTGGCCTGGTTGCACCATACGCCGTTGTTGACGCCCAGCAGCTGATATTTGGCGAGTCGGCCGCCGCGTCGTTCGCTGCGAACTTTGAAGCGCAACTGTAAACTGGCTATCGGCGCTGTAATGGTACCACCTGTCGAGCGGCTGAGTCGGCTGCCAGCGCTGCCGCTGACCGGTCTCTCCTGTGCCGCCAGCGGCCGCCGACGGCGCCGCCAGCGTCGAGGATGGCCTGGGCAACAACCACGCGGCCGCCGCCAAGACGCCGCCGGTCATCACCACCACCGAACACAACAACGGCCAGGGAGGCGGCGCGGCGGCCGGCGGCGGCGGAGGCGGCGGAGGAGGCGGCGGGGGTGGCGGAGGCGGCGGCGGCGGGAAGGAGAAGTCCGTCCTGCAGGCCAAGCTGACCAAGCTCGCCATCCAGATCGGCTACGCTGGCTCCCTCATGGCCATCCTGGTGGTGATTGTGCTCGTGATGAAGTTCTGCATCCAGAAGTTCGTCATCGAAAAGGACGAGTGGAAGCCCAAGTACTTTGGCGTGTTCGTCAATTTCTTCATCATCGGCGTGACGGTGCTGGTGGTGGCGGTGCCCGAGGGTCTGCCGCTGGCCGTGACGCTCTCGCTCGCCTACTCCGTGCGGGTGAGTGATTGCCGAGGGACCGGCAACTCATAATTAGGCTACTTCCGTGACTTGTATCCTCTCATATGTATATCATGTACATGTTCCCATGCTGTGTCATTGTTCCCATCGCTCACTCCTTATTCTCTGTATTTTGCCCCTTTCTCTCGTTCCTTCCCTGTGAGTTGTTATCCTCCCTCGTGTCTTGCCGTTGTTCCACAATTCCTCCGCTGCTATCATGTGTGACTGGTGCGTTAGACAGAGCCACCGTCGGTAGTGGCGGCGGGGCGATTCCGCTGACGCGCCTCCGCCGCCGCGCCGGAGCTGCGCCGTGATTTACGGTGATTGGGGCGGCCGATGAGTGCAGCGTGGCGCGCTAAAAACCCGCGCCAACTCGGCGAATTGCCGCGACGTGCCGCGCCCGGCCAGCCGGGTTTTACGGAAACGGGACGTGACCGAACCAGTGACCCGTGCTCCCTGGTGGTCTGTGCCCCGTGATTCGCTGCGATTATTATTATTTATCATTTGCTGTCCCTGACTGGCAGTCCTTGATCCACGCTCTGTGATCTTCGGTTCGTGATCTATGGACCATGATACATGATCTCCGTCCTATGATTAGTGACCTAGACCCTGACTGCCAGCCGCACCCCGCTGTATGTTTTGGCTCTGCGCCACCTAGCACCCGTGACCTGACCTCGTGCCCCCCCCCCCCCCCCTCCCCGCAGAAAATGATGGACGACAACAACCTAGTGCGTCACCTGGACGCCTGTGAGACGATGGGAAACGCCACGGCCATCTGTTCCGACAAGACGGGCACGCTGACCACCAATCGAATGACGGCCGTCGAGCTGTACCTGGGCGGGCAGCGCTACAAGCAGATCCCCAAGTTCGAGCAGCTGCCGCCGCACGTGGCTGATCTGGTGGTCCACGGCATCTCCATCAACAGCGGCTACACGTCCATGATTATCGTGAGTGAGGCAGAGCGGTGGGGTAATCGCGGCTGGGGAGGGGATAGGGCGTGAAGGGTTTCAGGTGGCTGGAGGTGTGTGGGAATCGATGGAAGGGAAGAATGGGCTACTGGGTGGGCTTTGTGTGGTGTGACGTGTTGGTTGATACGATGCTGTCTGCTATATGATATCTGGTGGGATTTGAACAGTTTAGAAAATATGTCGGCGTGTGTTAAGACGCGGTTATCGTGTTTATTTCCACGGGGCCGTATTGTTGCTCGTGCTGATGTTAGGTTTGGTTTGGAGTCACAGCGTACCACACGGACTGGCGATGTCACGAACTACATACAATAAACGGTGGGATGTTTGAGCCTCCCCAATGGCAGTGGCGTCATGATATCGATCGCTTCACTGTTGTCTGCTCTGTTCGTGATTTTGACGTGCTCGATTGTCCGTCCTCACAGGAGAAAGAGGGTGAAGCGACCAAACAGGTGGGCAACAAGACCGAGTGCGCCCTGCTCGGCCTGGTCGAGCGCCTCGGCAAGAGCTACAAACAGATTCGCGACGACAATCCCGAGGAGAGCCTGCACAAGGTGTACACCTTCAACTCGGTGCGCAAATCGATGAGCACCGTCGTGAAGACGCCCGACGGCGGCTTCCGGGTGTACACCAAGGGCGCCTCCGAGATCATTATGTCCAGGTGGGTGCCGTCACCGCCGGCGCGGGCGGCGCGATTAGCGGGGCTCGTTTGGAGAGCGGCTGTTCGGTGTGAGCGCGGTGCCAGCCGGGCTAATTCCGTGTCACTGACGCGCCTCTGACGGCTGTCCTTTGGCGGCCCACTGTCACTGGGGGCCGCGCCGGCCCGAATTGGCTGGTGTACCGGCCCGAATTGGCCGGCCCGGGGCGGCTTTAGCCGGCCCCGTCCGGACGACTGCCATGAAACTGGGCCAAGCTGCCAGCTCCCATCGCAGTCAGCATATAGACGGGCCCTCAGCGGCCTGTTCAAACCGAGACGGAGCGGTTCTGTTCCGTGTTTGAGCGGAAACAATGCCCGCTGTGCTGTCGATGGTGGCTGCCAACTCCATCGGCCGCCATTTTGAGAGCTCGGATATGGTTGGTCTGTCTGACCTATACTGCTAAGCACGTGGGGTTGGCAGCTCTTTAGCCTCCCTAGCGGCGGGTGGACACTAGGATCTGAACGGGTGACGGTTGGTGACCCGTTTCCATGATGAGCTGTGAGTGACGGCTGCCGCGGCTGGCTGACCACTCACCCAACCCATGCGGTGTCCGTCGCTAGGTCTGCCAGCTGGCCTCAGTTCACGTCTCAGGTCTGTAATGACCTGGTCTGAGGGACTTGGCCTCCGCTGTGTGGGGACTGAGTGTGCCGGACCGGGTCGGGTTGGGTCGGGTCAGACAGGGACTGCCGACCGGAGAGTCGCGCCGTCTGACGGTCCGGCGGCTGGTGCTGGTCAATGGCCCGGACCAGGCGCCGCCGGCGGCCCGCGGTCCGATCTGATGTGAATCGAGCTGCTCTGGAGCGGCTCCGGGGCTGGCTGCTGCATGGCGGGCACATTATTTACCCAGCTTCTGGAAACTGGCACCCGCTCTCAGCACAGCTTCCAGGATTCTATAAACGCCGCCGGCTGTGGAAAATTCCGCGGCTTCAGTATCGCGCCACCCTAAGATAATGCCGATTCGCCAAAATGCATCTATTCATGGGGCACTATTTTCACTTGAACGGCTTCGCGGGCCATTATCCCATAATTCTCGCGGCGAAATTGGCTTTGATTGAACGAGCGGGGACGGCTCATTCGTCCGCGGCTTTCATTTCTTTCTTTTACATTTAGTAATTTTTCACGTACACTTATAGATCTTAGCAATCCCCCGCGGGCGCGGTTCCAAAAGGCAGATGCCAGTCGCGTTTGAACGCTGGCAGTCGAACCGCTGCTCTTGTCTGTTGACGTTGTGCCGCCAGACATCTTGCCAATATGCTTTGTTCAGCAGCTGTCGTGTCCCCTCTCTGGCGGAATGGTGTTGATAAGCCGCCGGATAGCGTCCCTCTCCGCTGGCACCGTTCCACCGTATCTGACGCGCGCTACCGCTCGTTTACCGCAGGTGTGCCTTCATCTACGGCCCCAACGGGCAGCTGGAGAAGTTCACGCCGTCCATGCAGGAGCGGCTCGTGCGCGATGTCATCGAGCCGATGGCCTGCGACGGCCTGCGCACCATCGGCGTGGCCTACCGCGACTTTGTGCCCGGCAAGGCCGAGATCAACCAGGTACGAGTCGATGGGGAGACGGGGCTGAAACTTACGGGAGTTCAGGAGTTGTGTCTTAAGGGAGAGGTATGGGAAGTGAGCGGTACCAACCAGGGAGGGGTTTTGCAGACGGAGAGACTGGTCTGTGAAGTGATATAGGCTGTTTGTTGCTCTAGCGGTTTGTCGGTTGTGATTTATGAATGTGTCTTGGCTCGCTCCGAGCCCGTATCGCATACACGGCCTGTGTATTTGCAGAGCGTGCTACGTGTCATGCGAGGCCCCCATTTTGTATGTGTGTTTTTGCTGGTCACGGAATGTCTGACCTCGACCTTCTCCCGCTCCGCCAGGTTCACATCGAGAACCCGCCCAACTTTGACGACGAGGAGCACATCATCAGCAACATGACGTGTATGTGCATCGTGGGCATCGAGGACCCGGTGCGAGACGAGGTGCCGGCCGCAATCAAGAGCTGCCAGCGCTCCGGCATCACGGTGCGCATGGTGACCGGAGACAACGTGAACACGGCGCGCTCCATCGCCACCAAGTGCGGCATCGTCACGCCCGGCAGCGACTTCCTCATTCTCGAGGGCAAGGAGTTCAACCGGCGCATCCGCGATGCGTCCGGCCAGGTGAGCCGCGCGCCGCGCCGGGCGGTGGGGCGGCGGTGGGAGCGGGTGGTGGGGCCGCGGGGCGGGGCCGGCCGGTATTGGTCGGGTCGGGCCGCCGCTGGAAATGGCCGCCGTCGCCATTCATCGGGCGTCGTGGCCGCGGAAATGAGCGCCGTTTATCTGCCGAGTCGGTGCAGCTGGGAGATGGAGCTGGCAGACCGGGCCGGAGCCGGGGAGCCGGAGTCGGGTCCGGGGCTGAAGTATCAAGTCAGCGCTAGGACCGGAGCAGCGACTTGGACTGGTGCTAGGATAGTTGGATAGCCGGATGGTGCACAACCGAATCAGTCGAAGCGTTGTTGGGGTCTCTGTAAAGACACAGAGTGGATTGGGAATAACGTACATGTCAGAACGTTCGAGTTTAATGGTACGGGGTCTGGCGTTATATATGTGGTCCTGAGCAGTTGTGGTGCTGAGATGATGTAAGTGGTCTCTGGACCACGTATTCCGAGCCTTGGTACGGCTTGACCGGTCGATATAAGCCGCAGTCCTGCGTCAGCCGCTGATAGGTAATGTTAGCGGCCGTGCATTGAACGCATCCGGAGTAGCTCGGGGCTAAACCCAGCTCCCATATAATGGCCACGCTTGTTACAGCGCTTCGAAGCCACAGTCGTCAATCATGTCCTGTTTTACCCAAATCAAGCGGTGTTATCCTCAATAATATCGTTCGAACCTTCTAAAAACCCGTTCCCATTATTTATAATAACGGTTTCTTGGAAGCGTTATTGAATATCCTGGCTGTAAATCTGAAAGTGTCTCAGCGCTCGACTGTCTGGTCTGTAGAGTCCTTGTCATAGATATAATTTACTGACATTTCCGCTCCCCATCTTCCCTCAGATTCAGCAGCACCTACTGGACAAGGTGTGGCCGCGCCTGCGGGTGCTGGCACGCTCGTCGCCCACCGACAAGTACACGCTCGTCAAGGGCATGATCGACAGCAAGATTAGCAACCACCGCGAGGTGGTGGCCGTCACCGGAGACGGCACCAACGACGGGCCCGCCCTCAAGAAGGCCGACGTCGGCTTTGCCATGGTGCGTGGGTAGCTGCTCAGGGTGGACGGGGTGGTAGGTGGTGTCGTGGATAGCTATGGATATTATGGGTAGTGGCGTGGGTGGTGTGGGGAGCTACGAGCAGGTTATAGGGATTGGAAGACCGGTTTGGGTCATAAAAGCCGGATGAGCTAACATCAGACGGATTTAATCCTTATTGATGATTGCGTGTGAGCTTTATCCCACATACCTAACCAGACTCGAGATGATAATGAACTTTTACTGTTCTGCAGTTGGAGTGCTATTTTTTGATATATTTGATATTTCTGGCGCCACTGATTGCTAAGTGAATATTTCCGAAGTCACTTGTTTGCATGTCACTCACTGAGTTCTTTTTCGTTTCAGGGCATTGCCGGCACTGACGTGGCCAAGGAGGCGTCGGACATTATTCTGACTGACGACAACTTCACCAGTATAGTGAAGGCCGTCATGTGGGGCCGTAACGTGTATGATAGCATAGCCAAGTTTCTGCAGTTTCAGCTGACTGTGAACGTGGTGGCCGTACTAGTTGCTTTCATCGGCGCGTGTGCAGTGGATGATACGCCTCTCAAGGTGAGCACGACGCGGCCGTCGGCGCGAGAGGGAGAGGTGGGAGGGACTGGGAGGCCTTCCAGCCGGGTTGTGGGTGCTTTAGTGAGTGGGGAGGACGAGGATAAAGGGACCGGTTTACAGTTGGTCCAAGTCTCGCCGCCTGCCGGCCGGGTCGGGCTGTCGGGCTAATCGGTAAATCAGCGTGCGTCGTGCGGTACCGGTGACATTGAGTGGCCGCCGGCCGGCGTGGGACGACATTGATTCGTGGGGAGTGTCCGCCGCCGGCCGGCCGGCCACACGCGACTGCGGGACTGCGACCGCCCCCGCCCCCGCCCCCACCCGCCGCCGCCCCCGCCCCCGCCCCTGCCGCCGTCTGTGGCCCTCTCAATACCGCTGTCCTCTTTGGCCGCTGAATCGATCTCGGCGGCGGCGAATGGCCCGGGGCGGTCGGGAGTGCAGCGCCGCCACTCAGATGGACATGGCTGTTGGGCTGATGGGGTAGCTATGTGCTGGTGACTCACCCCGTGTGCTCCCCGACCCTCAGGCGGGCCCAATCCTGACCCCGTGTGCTCCCCACCCGACTCGCAGGCGGTACAGATGCTGTGGGTGAATCTTATCATGGACACGTTCGCGTCACTGGCGCTGGCGACGGAGCCGCCGACGCCCGAGCTGCTGCTGCGCAAACCGTACGGCCGAACCACGCCGCTCATCTCCCGGACTATGACGAAAAACATCCTGGGCCAGTCGGTCTACCAGCTGTCCATCATCTTCACACTGCTCTTCGTCGGTGGGTGATAACGCGTAGAAGGGAATGGGGATGCATTTTGGAGAAGGAGAATGCATTTTTAGAAACCTTCTTTTATGCATGAAGTTCGGCGTCGATGTCGATGGGTCAAAAATTTTCGTTTCTTTTAATAAGGGAGTATAATAAGGGATATTTAAGAATGTTTAGGGATAGTATTGCAGACCCCGGCGTGATGAGTTTCGTGCGGGGCAGTCCCCTTTCTTCGTGACTGGGTGAACTGAAAGGTCGTCGGTGCAGCCCATCTGACACACCTCCCCGTGCCGCAGGCGAGCGGCTGCTGGACATTGACGACGGCCGGTACGCCGAGCCCGGAGACCCGCCCTCGCAGCACTTCACATTCATCTTCAACACCTTCGTCATGATGACACTCTTCAACGAGATCAACTCGCGGAAGATCCACGGACAGCGCAACATCTTCAAGGGCATCTTCGCCAACCCGATCTTCTACTGTATCTGGCTGGGCACGTTTGTGTCGCAGGTACTGAGTTCGGGGACGCTCCCTGAGGCCCGCCTGGCTTTTGGATCTGGTGCTTAAGTGGTGTGGGTCTAAATTGGTAACATAAAACGCACGAGTCATAACTAACGTACCCAGACTGCAGTGTGCAAGTGCCCTTTCTAGACGTGGGCTTCTGATTCGACATGCACATTTGACATTCGTGTAAGTCACGTGATTAGAGAGTTATGAGTTCGTTCGATTCGCCTGGTTATGGTAACGACATGGACGAAATGGAGGGTTCGCTCGTCGCCCACGGCCGCCGCGAATGCAATGCATTCATAAGTGGTATTGCGTCATGGGCGAAATAAGGGAGCACCAATCACTGGTGCCGTGACATGGTTCTGTTCTGTCTCACTGAATCAGCGACAGCGCAGCTGAAATCTTTTGGGACGTGTATCTGTATGCGTACTGCGTAGCAATGCCAGTTTGGTCGTTTCTTATGCTGTTGCACGTAGCCTGACCTGACCTGAAATCTGACCTCCCACCGCTCTGTCTGTGCCGTCAGATTATCCTGGTGCAGCTCGGCGGCCGGTTCTTCCAGACGGAGGCGCTCGACCTGGACCAGTGGGGCTGGTGCATCTTCCTGGGCTGCGGCGTGCTGCCCTGGGGACAGCTGGTCACCTGTATCCCCACGCGCGCCATGCCCAAGATCCTCTCGTGAGTGGCGCTGGGGCGGGGCGCGGAGTGTGCCGGGCCCGCCGACTGTGCCCGGCCGGGGCGGTTCCCCGGCCCGGCGGAGGGCACGGCGGCTCGGACCTGTGTCAGGCAGTCAGAGAACGCCCTATGGACGTGTCATAGTTTGACGATAATCGCACTTGTAAACGTAGTTTGTTGATTAATCCCAATAACGATTGCATTACCGGTATACTGAGTCATTGGGACGTGGCCGAAGTATCCCCGATATTAATACGGACGGCAGTGTATGCTGCAGTGTGCACGACTGGTAGTCACAGAGTGTCTGGCCCCGTGTCCGCCCTCCCTCCCTCCCTCCCGTGTCGGCGGCGGAGCGCGCCCCGTGACCCCGTCAGCTGACTGACCGTGCGGCCGCGCGCAGCTGGGGCAGCGGCAGCCCGGAGGAGATCATCTCATCGCCCACCGTGGTCGATGAGGACAACGGCATGGGCACCATGGAGCGACGGAAAACCACCGGCCAGATCCTCTGGATCCGCGGCCTGACGCGGCTGCAGACCCAGGTGAGTGCTCCGGCCGGCCGCCTGCCGCGGGGCGCGCGACTGACCCGACTGCCGCGGCGGCATGTCACCGGGGCCGCACTGGGGCGGCGGCACCGGGTCATTAACCGGGGTCACGCCTTCTGGGCTCCAGTTTTATCTAGACGGGTGGCTTCTAACTAGCGTGGCCGCCGCGCGCGCTCGTGGCTGATGGGAGTAGCGCGGAGCGGTGCTCCACGCTTGTCTCATCAGGCGCGAGCGCCGGCGGCCCAAGCGTTTTTTTTTTTCAGCGTAAGCGCCGATCCCACAGATCAGGCGGCCGACTGCGCTGGGATCGAGTGCGGTTTTTGATCAGTCACTGCAGTTTGTGTGCCTGTCAGCGGTCCGGTGTAGGCCGGCCGGTAACGCGCTGCGCTTCCCACTCGGGCAGCAGCCCGACCTGACCTGACCTGACCCGACAGCAGCATGACCCGACACCGTCTCCTCAGAGACCGCTCGGCGCCATTTATCAGTCTATTGATCTCTCTATCTCGACATCTTTCCCCCTATCACCCGGCCTTCTCTCTCTATCTGTCTCTCCGCTTCAAGTGAGCGTCTGCACCGGTCCCTCGTCTCCGTCCGTCCCGTTCCCTCGCTCTCAGCGCGGCGGGCCAGCGATGGCGGCCGCCCGACGAGCTGGTGTGCCGCCCCCTCCCCGTCAGCGGGCTTCGAAAACATCGATGCGAAATGCCGGGAGTGTGCGCTTTGTCGGCTTCCTGCGGCCAGGGCTGATTGTGTCCGCGGAAGGATGGCTGTGATTGTGTTGGCTTGGGTCAACAGTTCGCACGCTGTGCGTTTTGATGGGACCGGGTGTCCCACCAGAGAGGGGGAGGGCCGTGTGGCACGCCCGGGGGCACGTCTGAATATGGTCCCCGCTCGGCCGGCGGCGGCCGCTGCTCGCCGGAGCGCCCAATTCGGCCGCGCCGCGCCCGGCATGTCAGCGTGAAGACGGACGAGCTAATGCCCGGCGGCGGCCGGCCAGACGAATTGGATCGGATTTTGGGAGCGGCGCGCCAGACCCACCAGGAAATTAGAATAGTTGTCCCGGCCAGCGGCCGGCCCCGGGCGGAAAACCGTTCAGCGGGCCCCGCGGAAAAGACGGGAGCGCCGGCCTCTGTGGACTCCGCAGCACGAGTAGATTTCAGTCCGGTTACGTGCAGCCCACTACGCAGGGGCTGAAGCAACACGGCTGCCTTTAGCTGTTAGAGCGCTGCCACGAAGCATGTCACGGGAGCCGTAGGCCGGAATGCCGCTTGCAGGAAGTAGTTGCAGAGGGCGGCTTGCCTGTAGACTGTACATAAGTTGCAATGACAGGTGTTATGAGACTCCTTAGGAGTTCCGAAAGTGGAGCCATTGATCCTGCCGCGTGGCTAAATTATGAAGAGTTCTTGATATTAAGCATCGCGGTGAAGCAGGGAATGTCGGCCACTGCCGGTCCTGAGGCTGCGCGGCGGCAAAATTGTCTCTGGGATTGTGCCGTTTTCGTTGCTGGATTACGCTTTTATGACTGCTGGCTGGGCGAATTCCCACCTGGCATGCGAGGCGGGCCTGTCCTGGCCTTGGCTCCGTTACGGTGTCGCGTACGCCGGCCCTTTTAGCTAATTTGGCGTGCGCTGATGATATGCGTTGGGCGGCGCTGCGTGCTGCTGGCTCGGCGCGGCTGTGCGCCGACTGGCGGGTCGCCACCAACCGGTCATTGATCTTGGCGGCGGCGGCTCTGCTGTGTGGCCGGCTCTGCCCGTGCGGCGCTCTCAGCCGGTAGCGCTCTGAGCCGCCCGCCGGTGCTCGGCCGAGCCCGAGCGGCCGGCGAGCGGGCGCCGCCACCTTCTACCGCCGGCCGCCGGCGCCGCGCCGACCGCCGCAGCACGCAAATGTCACCGCGCAAACAGCCCGTTACTGAACTGCGACGAGAAATCAATGGAGGCTCGGCCGGGCGGCTGGATCGACTGGGCGGCCGACGGTGGCGCCCCCGCAGCTGACGGCCGGCGCTCGCCCACCCTCTGTCCGCTCCCGGCCTCTGTCTGCCCCTCTGTCTCTCTCTTTGGCTCTGGTCTGGCACCGCTGCCCGCGGCCGGCTTCTTTCACCGCCCACACGTTTGCCACCTTGGTTGAGTGTCCGGTTTGGTTTGTTCTCTCGGGGAGTGTGCGTGCGTGTATGCGTGGTTGGGTGTCCTGTCCGGGTTGTGTGGGGCGTCTGGGTCTGTCTGTCTGTCTGTCTGGCCCCCGCTCACCCTGACCACCCGCCGCCCGCCCGCCCGCCGCGCCCGGCCCGATGCGGCCACTGCGGGCGCCCGGCGCCCCCGGGACGCCCCTGGGACGCCCCGCCCCGCCGCGGCGGGCCGACTCCGCGCACGGACGCCGCACACCACACCACCATAGCTGGCAGAGACCGCATGCGACCTTCGTACCGCATCGCACACAGTGTACACTCTATTTATCTTGTTTTGTTGTTGTATTTTTTGTTTGGCACCCTGTTTTGCCCTCTTTACCTTAGTTGTGCCCTTACCCTGTGTGAGCGAGGCGTCTGCATTCTTCCCCGCCTCGTTCACTAACTACTGAAGAGAGCCTGGTTAGAAATAACGGGTCTGATGTGCGCTCTAACAGAAGTTTACCCCGCGTGTTTAAGAGTGCATTCTTTTATAGATTTCCAATAACTAATGGCGTGAGTTCTTGTGTACAGACCCCTTTTGTATTGACGCCTTGCACACTATATACAGAGTGTAGCCAGTTGTGGCACCATTTTACTCCCTCTTTTTCTGTTGGTTACTGTTTTCAGTTTCTCGGGGGTCGTATGACTCTCTTGTCCCCTGATTGCAGCTACGTGTTATCCGGGCTTTCAAGTCCAACCTGGAGGATTTGGAAGATCGGCGCTCCTGCCATAGTTTGCCCACCTTACATAATATGCGTGCGCACCGGCCGCACCACCCGGCTCATAAGCCTCCTACAGTCCATGACATCAGTTACATAGACGAGGAAGACAGGCCTACAAACGGCTGCCAGAAGACGGACGAGGCGCGGCCAGTATCGGCAGGCGCCGAGAGCGCGCCTCCCCCCTCGCTCTAGGCTAAATTCAAGGGTGGGCATTCGGCCTTGAGCACCGCACCGCGTCTGTCCGCGCGCCTCTGTCTATCTCTCTATCTCTCTATCTATTGGCGGGTCTCGGCTGGCTGGTGCTTCACGTTCCTGGCGAGGAATCCACCCACCCTGTTTGTAGACGTGTCTGTGTACCCGCACGGCCCACCCGCCCTCCACCAGTCTGCCCGATGCGCGTGTGGCGTCCCTGTCGGTGTGCCCGCCGCACCCTGCCGCCCTGCCCTGCCTCACATCACCACACCTGAGCTGAGCGTGCCGTGCCGCGGCCGACCTGACCCGAGCCTGACCTCACCTGACCTGACCTGATCTCACCTGACCCGCCCGCCGCCGGCCCGGCGCAGACCAGCCTACCGGGCGTTGATCCGCACGAGAATCCTCCGGAAGTCCTGGCCCGCGCCTACCCGTCCATCTCCAACCGTCTGAGCCGCAACTCGATGGGCGGCGCCGCGTACGGCGTCCGCTCGCGGACGTCCACGTCGGCGGCGGCGCTCTCGTCGGGCTCGGAGCCGGCGTCGACGCACTCGACCCTGCAGCGGCCGGCCGGCAGCCAGACGTGGGCGTCCGGCAGCGGTGAGCTCCGCCTGCCGCCCCTGGCCCCCCGCAGCTCGGACACTCTGCCAAAACCCTCCTCATCCGCCGCCGCCGCCGCCGCATCGGGTCAGCCGTCACCTGGTGAAGGTCCGCTCTGAGTCTGCCAGCAGAGTCTGTAGGATACGCCAGGCCGACAGTAGTTACCTCAGCTGCTCCTTATTCTCTATCTTTTTCTCTCTATTTTCCTCTGTGTCGGCCCGTCACTATTTTCATCCTACTTTCCTGTTCCTAATCATGGCGTGTGTCCTCTGTCTCAACCTGCTATCTTACTTTCCCTCCTGTCTCTTCTCTTCGCCTCTTTCTCTTTTTGCTCTATCTGTCTAAGTTTTGCTTATCGGTTCGGCTTCTGACAGATCTGCTAGCGTTCTGTTGCCGACTAACATGCTAACGCCTTACGCCACGCTATCTAAATACTCGTCTGTCCAACAGTCCACCTCACCACTGACCCAGACACTGAATGACACAGTCACACAGTCACACGTCACACACGTGCGCCACGACACGCGGGGCGCGATCCGGCCGCCACGTGCCGGCGCGGCTCCGTGGGCGCGGAGCGGTGGTCGCCTCCTCTGACCCTGGCTTGTGTACATAGCCGGCCGCGCGTCCGGCCGCGCGCCGGTCGGTGCGGCGAGGTGGTGACTGTCCCTGTATGCTGGTGCTGCCCGCTCCACCGCCCTCCCGTCTCTCAGCGCTGTGGACTCTACCCTCGGTCTCCCGGGAACCTCCCCGTATTTATATCTACAAGTAGAGGGTGTGCCGGTGGCGGGCTCCAGCTGGTGTGATGTTTCTCTCGTGCATTCCTCACTGGTTGCTAATACCTGCCCTTCTCTTATTCCAGCAAAGTCAGATTGATGGCTCAATCCCTGATGGGGTAAATAGCCCGTGTTGGTGTTGTCAGGCCTCATTCTAGGCGCTGTTGCTCACTAAATCCTTGCATGATGACTTTTGAGTGTAACCTGATTCTAACCTTTCTAGCAAACTTTTGGCTTACAATGGGGCCTTTCAACTTTTCATGTTGCGCAGTTTCTGTTCACACGCACAACAGTAGCTAGGCGAGCTGGCCGTCCGCGTACTAAATCCAGCCTGCCACCATAGAGTAGCGCCGGCCGGCCGGCGGCGCCGCGCGCCCCGGCGCGGCGTCGGGCGCCGGCTGTGCGCGCCCACACAGAGAGACCGAGCCGTCCTGCGTCCCCTACTCCGCCCGCCCCGCCCCGCCCCGCCCCGCCCGGACCCCTGGCCGGTGACCCGGCCCGGCGCGACCCGACCCGGCCCCACCACGCCTGTAGCTCTCAACTCTGTCTTCTGTGGCCGGCATGTCAGCGCCCGTGTGTGTGCTCACCTCTCACTGTGCGCCCTCTCCTTGAAGGTGATTGGCGGGGAGTATCAGGGGCGGCTGATGCCCGTACCGTACAGCAAGAACGCCACAGACCAAGCTGTAAGACTTGGCATCATTCGATACATTCTCATTTACTGTTGCCTGGTTGGTCATGGTAACTCTAGCCGAGTATCTGTTGTCGTGTCTCTTTCTCTTGGTTGTAAATTGTGGCAGCTCTGTAGTATTTCAGAGGCTGGTTTTGTTTTGGATTGTAGGCGGCCGGCACGAGCCAACATGCTGTCATGTCTTGTCATGTACAGACGCAGGACGTGCGCGCGCGCGCTGTCCAACTGCATTGGATCCAAGGAATGCCTTGACCACGAGCACCCGGCATCTCGGTAGCTCGATCGCATCGGCGGCTCGGCAAAATTGCTTGCGGCGCGTCCGGCCTCGATCGGGAATGCAGTTAGTGAATGCCAGGCCTGCGTGTTGTGCGTGGCTGGAGCAGGGCGATTCAGTCCTGCAGCTAAACTGAAAACACCTCCGTCTAGATACAGGACACACAGTGTTCCATTTGACAAAGAAGGAGGTATGTTTATCGTTTTCTCGCCTCCTTTGAAATTTTTCCACAAACATAGTTTTTGTTAGTTACCCTATAAATCGGTACAGCATGCATTTTAGTCAAATTGTTACACGATACATTGTTTTCTTTTACGACGTTTTAGTCACTTCTGTAGATTGTTTACAGCTCTTTGCAGCTTCTTAAAAAAAGACGAGAGAGTGGAAGTCTTTTGGCTGTAGATTTATCCGACTTTGTCTAAAATCTAAAATTTTAAAGTAGCTAAAAAAGTAGCTCTAAAATGTTAAGTAGCTAAAATAAATTTCAGCTACTTAGCTTCCTTGCCTCAATTAACCCGCGCCCCACTGGGGTCTGTGTATAACACGCCCTACTGGGGGGGGCTATTCATAGCCCCCCTCCTAACTCCAAAACTACTGGGCCGATCGTCAAAATTCAAACGGTGTCTGATAGCCCCGGAAAAACTGTCGAACGAAACCTAATTTCATTGACCTCGAGGTCACCGATGACGTCACAGGTCAGGTCAAAGTAAAAATTATTAGCATTTTGGCTTGTTCACATTTTGGGCTCTGGCCGCCGTCTTACAAGTCAGATCAGGCTCATTTTTGGTTTCCACACTCGTGAAGAGATGCTCTAGATACTTTGAGGGTACCAAACTTGTACTTTGATTTTCAGGTCAGGGTCAGGTCATCACAGGTCACGAAAATATTATATCATGCGTCGGTCACGTGACACATGTTTTATGGTCCATTTAGGCCATAGATTTCGAATTTGATGTCGTCTGTGTCATTCGAGGTCATTTGGAGTCGAATTTCGCTTAGGTCAGGTCACTTTCAGGTCAAAAAAGGTCAAATTTTGAAGTTTACATTTTTCAACAAAAAAGGTATCTACTGGATGCAGTTTGAGCTCAGGAACACGATGGTGCCATTTATATTGGTGTACGATGTCAAATACGTACTGAAAAATTGATTTGAAAAATTAATAATTGTGAATTTTTTGCAATAATGCGAATAACTTGGCCATTTTTGAAGATATTTAGCTAAAACTTGCTATAGTTAGTCAACATTATGCGTTCTGTTACATATATTCCGGTTTTTTCGAAAAGTCAAAAACTTTTTGAAAAAAATATAAAAATATAAATTTTGAATATTATTATATAAAATTTTCGAAATTTTCAAAATTTTAAAAATCCGAGATAGCAGTTTGATAGCGCGGTCAATTCTGAGTCCTTTCATGCAAAGAAATTGGATCTAGCTTAAAAACTGAGCTCTTGGGAGCGATTGCCGTGGTTCAATGTTTTGCGTCGAAATCGGACGAACATGACGTCACTCTGACGTCATTTTCGGCCGACCTATGGTAGCTACAAAGTTCAAATTTTGACACAAGGTGTCAAATTGATGCAGCCGAAGGTCCTGAAAGTTTGGCGTCGATCCGTCAAGCGGTTTGGAAGTTATTGCAGAAAAACGGGAGGGGGGCTATAAATAGCCCCCCCCCAGTGGGGCGCGGGTTAACTTCAATCTCTAGGACGTTATTTCACATTCGTACAGTATTTGAGGTTTAGCTGTAAAATCATTTAATAGAAAGTCCAGTTATTGATTTCTGCGCCGACGTGCCGGCACCGACCGCCCCCGCCGCCGTCCTGTCGATACACACTGCACCGCCGGCCCCACCGCCGGCCGGCCGCCTAAGGCAGAGTTGGGCGCCGCTCGGCGTCGCTGGCGGCGGGCCTGCATGCCGGCCCCAGGGAGGGCTTCCCAGCGCGCAGCCACTCCGCTCCACCCCGCCCGCCCGCCCGCCCCGCCCACCACGCTCTCAGCCCGCCGACCCGCCCGCCCGCGCCCGCCCGATCGAAGTGACCGCATGGGCCGTGTACGGCTTCTCGCTTGCTGGCTTGCCTGCCTGCCTGCCTGCCTGTGCACGCAGCCCTCCAACGCTAGTGACTACATAGTCCCCCGACCCCTCAGACTCACTCTCTTGGTTTCTGACTCTGGTTCTGGCTCTCCCGTCTGCCACTCTCTCGTTAGGTCTACCTCTGTCTCTACCTCGCCCTCTACCTCCCTAATTCTGTCTCCCTGGCTCTTTCTCTCTGTCTCTCTGCGGCTGTCTGCTGTCTGTCGAACTGTAGCGCCCGTCGCGCCCCCGTCTGTGTGTCTGTGCCGTGTTGTCTGACCGCTGCGCCCGCCGCCGCGCGGCGCCGGCCCCCCCGCGCGCCCGCTCGCCGCCCACTGGCGAGTGGCCACCGTCACTGACCGACCACCAGTCCACCAGAGACTTTCTCCATGCATCCTGCACGTACATGGGCTGAGCATCATGGTTGCGACTGCTCGTTCTTTGAGCATGCCGCACAGTTGTGCTGCTCTCCACTAACCAGCGGACTAACGCTTATACACACGCTACTACTGGCTTGGGCTCTGCCGAGTGCGCGGCTCGGCGCTGCTCTGTGCTTGCCACCTTGGTGTGCGTCTGTAGGTGTGATGTGCTATTGATGGAGTAACATTAATATCAATGTTAAGTTGGTAATTGTCATTTGCTTCGAGAAACTTGTCGAATTCACTTGGGGTCGCCTCTCAGTTTGGTTTGCCAAGTTTGCGTTGTCTCGGTCACGAGCAGGCGGGGTTCACGCGGGGCGGGTGTGTTCTCCGTTGAGCTTGGCTCGGTGTTGCTGGGGGAGGGCTGCCGCCGGGTGCCAGCGATCCCCGGCCGCGCGCTGGCGGCGCGCTGGCGGCCACGGCGCTGTGTGCCCGCTCGTTGCAGGCGCGGTGTCCAACTACCAGTCCGACTCCGGCGGCCTCGTGACCACCACCAGCTCCGCCATGTGACGCTCCTGTCCTGCTCCTGTGTCCTGATCCTGCCTCCGTCGCCGGACTGGGCTCGGCCCGGCCCGGCGCAAAAACAGGTAGGCAGCATCCCAGTTTCACTATCTTGATCTCCATTATTGCCATCAATACATATAGTAATTACTAAGTATTGACAGCCCTCCACAGACCTAGCCTCATTATTTTTATTCTTTTCCCTACCGTATTTTATGTTAGCATTCATCATTTAAAGTAGTGTTGCAACTGCATCTATCCTTTTCCACTCCTTCTCCAGATTCTTGGCGCCGCGCCTGGGGAAAGCTGGCACCACGGCTTCTAACCAGTAACTGGGTCACCGTGCTTAGCATGCTCTCTTGAGGCGGCTGTCGTGTGCCGGGCGCAGCCGCCGCCTGACCCCGGCCTGTGTGCGTGTTTCAGATCCGCGTAGTGAACGCCTTCCGCCAGGGCGTTGACGTTTCTCGGCTGGCAGAGGCAGGTAACCCGACGTTGGCGGCAGTGCTGCAGAAGCAGAGTTCCTTCCAGCAGGCCAAGAGGCTGTCGCAGGGCTCGTCACTCGACTATGCCGACATGTGTCCGGATCCGGACGAGCTCAAAATCCCCGAGATCGACGTGGACGGTCTGACGTCTCGGAGCCACACGGAGACGGCCGTCTAGCCGGCGGCGGCCGTCCGTCTGTCTGCTGAGCGCGCGGCGCCGCGCCGCGCCCGCCCGTCCCGCTCCAGGGCCGCCCAGACCGCCTCCCTCCCTCCCTGTGCTCTGTCCGATCCCGCTCCCCGCTCTGTCTCATTCCCCGCGTCCCGGCCCGTGTCCGCGAGTGCGACTGACTGATGGGGCCGGCCCCACGGGCGCCGCCCGGCTTGTTGCGTTGGTTCGGTGAGAGCGGTGGTTATTTTTCTTGAGTTGGTTCCTCAGGGAGTGGACGGGGCCGGTGCCGGGCGCGAGCGACGCGGCCGTCAGACTGTGACCGCGAGCGTGCGCCAGCGCGCGCGCGCACCGCGGCCGCCAAGTGAATGTGACGCAACGCTGGGCGAGAGAAGACTCGTCTCCGGCATCTGTACATACTGCTAAAAGCAACGAAACTTATTCAGCGTTGTCGTTAGATGCCTTACATTTGCGTTTGTCCTGAGCGCGTGCCGCTGGGACGGAGGTGGGTGCCGCCAGCGCCGCCTGGTGTGCCGGCCGCCCGCCGGAGGCTGCTGCACCGCCGGCGCCGCCGCCGCTCTGCGGCCCGCGCCGGCCGGCGTCCCGCTAGCTCGTTGGATGTGTACATAAGGAGTGGCCGTGTGGTGCAGTGTGCAGAGAGAGCTGCCCCTGGACGAGAGCCGCGTGGCGCGCCGCCGGACTGAGCGCGCGCCCGGACCGCCCGACCGAGACGGCCGCCGACCGGGGCACGGCGCGCGCCGGCCGCCGACCCGCCGCAGTGTACTACCGATATATATGCATACATATATATCACATGACCAAGTGAAGTTAGCAGCCACTCTTTAACTAGTTCAGTGTTGAAAGCTTGTGGAATGACAGTGGTTTTATCTCAGTCCTCGGATTTAACAGTCAGCCTGTGCTTGCATAAATCGCGACTAATGGGGTGACAGTTGTTTGTAGTGATTTTGTTACTGGTGCGAAAATGTTGCTAGCGGTTGTTCTTTATTTTTCCTACTAAATGTCGATGTGGTGCATCGCACCGGCTGCCGCGTCCCATTCTCGCTTTCTCCCTCACGGACATGTTCTACTATTCCCTTGTCATGTCAGCGCAATCACGGCCGGGTCAGCTCGTGAGAAATTATTCGTCTCCGTGTACGATTATCTGTACAGCAATACGTTGATCGTTACTGGCTGCGGCTACGGCGAAAATTTAGGCGGCGCCTCGGCGCTGTCGCCTAGTTCTCCGAGCGCGGGCTGTTGTAGGATCGCTGCCCGTCTTCTAGAGCTGTATAAAAAGCTGTATATCGTCCTAGCTTGTCAGTCTCCAGTCTTATTGTATCGTCAGTATTACAGCAAGCTGTTGATGATAGAGACCGCCAACGGTAACTATTCGCGGACGCTCGAGAGACACTGGTGGTACAGGGTTCTTTTGCGAGTTCTGAGGAGGTTGCTTTGTGTGCGGAAGCAGGCGGCGCCCGTTTTCACCTTGCGGAATGATTGGGTCGGTGCGCTCCCAGCGTGTGACGGCTCCGCCCCCGGCCCTGACCTCGGCCGGGTCGAGGGTAGCCCCATCAATAGGCAGACTGGTCCCTCGGCCATCACCCATGTATGTGTTTATTCCTTTCTTTAGTTATGTGCATGCTTCGTGCTGGTCGCTGTCGATTGTTTTCTATGAAGGGATGATTTAGATGCATCGCTGCCCGCGATGAGGGTTGTTGTGTAAATAAATCTTAGCGGTGATACACAAAATTGTCCGTGAAGTACGTTGTTCGAATATAGTGGTGATCGATCATTTGATTGTTGATCGTGGCGGCGAGCGGGCGGGCGCGTCCGGGCGGCTGGGGCCGGCGCCGGCACATCTTATGCAGTGGCTTGTTTGCCTGTTAACGAGTAGGGACGGTGTGTTCTGTTGAGACCTCTCTCCTTCCTTCGTGCGCGCGCGCGCGCCGCCGCCGCCGAGACGGGTGGGCGGGTCCGCCCCCGCCCCCGCCGCCGCCGGTCGGCTGTGGCCGGGCTCGACGGCTCGTCGGCCGGGCGGCGCGGCGCAAAGTGTAGCATCAGTTTGATTGTTGATAGCCGTCGGACCTATGGTTTTTATCAAATAAAATTTTAACGTCGGCGCTGGGTCGTTGCTGCAGTAGCTGTGTGGTTGTTTGATCGTGCAGGGTGGGGGATGGGGATGGGCGCCGTTGTGTGCGCTGTAGGTGCAGAGGGGCAGACCGCTTTCCAGGAAGACGACAGTGCCCTACGATCATCTGGGTGAAGATTCTGGCCACAGTGAGTATCAGGTAAGCACGATACCATTTTTTCACTCTTGTGAGTGGATGGGCTGTTCATGGGAATAACAAATGCACCCAAATGTTGCTAGTCCATTTGCTGTTACCGCTAGTTCTTACGATCCAAGTCCATGGGCGTTAAAAAACGATTTATCTATAGGAGACCATTAAACTCGTAGCACGGAATATATTTTACAGAATGAAGGGGAATTCAAATAAACCATATCCCGGATATCCGGGATAACGAATCTCCTCAGTCAGGTTGAACGCTCATTGGTAGAGCATTTCATAGGCCCGGTCTGGTGTCTGATATGCACAATGCAAGTACGGTACCCGTCCGCCAGATGGCAGGGCACAATCCAACCGTTCAATAAGTGCCTCCTCTCGTCATAGGGCCCTCTATAGCTCTGATCTGGGACAAGTAGGCTAGGCTGTGCCGAATGCCGATCACGAGAATCGAGGCTAAGTAAATTTAGGTGGGTGGATACCGTGTAGTGTGTGATCTACACAGGGCAGTAGGTAGCGTGTCCGGCTTATTACTCGCTGGCAGAGGCGGCGGAAGCAGGGGGGCAAGGGGGGCAGCTGCACCCTAAAGCTATGGAAAGGGGCGCCTCGAAAATCTGTAGAGGAGGCAGGAAGTTAAGAGGTGCGGCAGCCATAAAGCTGAGCAGTGCGACACCGCAACTGATAAAGGCACTTGTGACACGAAGAGGGTGGCAATGACGTGGGAAAAGTATCTTTTGATATGCTGAAGAGTGGAGGGCATCCTTATCTGAAACAAAGGCAGATGCTGCCGACCCCGTCGAATATAATCTTGCCAGGCGATAAAGGCTAGAAGGGCGCAGCCACTCGAGAAGCGCGCCATGCGGAAGAGGGGCGCCTGCATGCGAAAGAGGGGCGCCTGTGTGTGGGACGAAAAAGAAACATTTATGGAGACGTCTTTGAAGGCGATAGCCTCCGAACGCCAACACGAACATATGAGGGCTTATAGCGTTGCAGGCTCCATGCGACAAAAAGGGGCGCCTGATGGCCGATATGCGAGAGGAAATTAGTTTGTGTAACATTTATCGGGGGCGGTAACTGCAATAGTGCAGTGCAGCCCAGGCGGCATGCTGCTTACCGGCATGCAATTCTCTGTCACCGAGTATGGATTCGGCGCCTTATTCACTAGTCCACACGAAGGTATTGGGACCGTGGAACTCTTTTCGATATGCCTTATTCGGAGAATCTTATGGTATGACTATGGTGATGGGCTTGTTTCTAAACGAACATTATGAAGGCTACATTTACGCTATGGAATGTCCCTAACTATTTCTCGTTACATAAAAACTGTAGTTCAGAACGTGTTAACAGGTACAACACATTGTCAAACGTCTCTTCACTGTTTGTGTTACTACAACCGTGTATATGGTAAGGGGCGCCCAGCGGGAAGGGGCGCTTCAATATCGTTTGCACCCCTATCCTAGAATACCTTCCGCCGCCACTGCTCGCTGGTTCGAGGCTGGAGAGCAGCATGCTTTTAGGACCGCGTATAAAGTCTGGTGGCAGCTGGGACCCACGCTTGGGAGAGCCGAACTGCCATCAACCTGATTGCATAGTTCACCCAACTTCTTCCCCTTTGTTCAACCGGTGCCTTCAATCCCCCAAATAAAAACAGCCATTTGTGGAACAATGTTTATCATTTTCTCCTGGCTCGCGCACAGTTGAACAGTAAAAAATTGTAACAGGAAATGATGTGAAACAATATAACGATCGTTCGCGACATCAATGTGACAGATCCGATGCATGACCGATGCCGCCCGACTAGACGATTGGAGGGGGGGGGGGGGGAGGGGGTGAACTCTGGGACACCGATCCGACACCTCTCTCACACTCTCGGAGCGCGCCCTCTGACACTCTGAGTGGGACGCGATGGGACGCGGTGACGGCAGGCCGGCGGGACGTGGGACGGGACGCGGCGGCACGGACCGGCACGCCGCGACAGGCGCGCGCGCGCCGGCCCGTTAAAGCTGTGTCAAAAGCGCCGGCGCACAAGCGGCGCGCTCTCCGAGATCATGGGGGAGCGGACAGGGGCGCCGGCGAGCGACACCCAACACAAAACCGAGAGGCGGCGCGGCGGCTGGCGGCGGCGGCGGCCGGCGCAAGCGGTGAGCGAGACACAATGTAAAACCAACAGTATAAAAATATCCAGCGGCCACTGTGGGCAACGCGCGCGGCCGGCCGGCGGCGGCAGTGCGTGCAGGCCGCTCCGGCGGCGGCTGATGGTCACCTGTTCAGTTCGAGACGCGCCGTAATACTCTGTGTGTGGGCGCCCGGCGCGGCCGGCCGGTATTGCAGCAACACGTGGCGGCCGTGAGTGGGGCCGGCTGGCGGCGTCCTCACGGCCCTCTGACTAGCTGTCTGTCCCTGCCTGTGGCCGTGCTCTCACTGCGCTCAGCAGTCAGGCCGCCGCAGCCGCAGCCGGCCGCCCGGTTTGAGCGCCAGCAGCGCGGCGTCGGCGCCGGCCGGCGTCTCGAACACGGCCTGCACGCGCTGGTGGGCGGCCAGCGCGCCGTCCGGCGGCGGCGAGCCGGGCCCGAACTGGAGCCGGCCGCCGCCGGCCGTCACCACCGGCTCCTCGAGCAGCCGCTCCAGCTCGCAGCGGCGCAGGCCGGGCCAGACGCCGTCCACCTCCAGCACACAGCCGCCGCCTGACGAGCGGGGAACGGCGCGGAGTCAGGCCCACAGCACAGCCAACGGTGAACAGGCAGCGCCGGAGAAAACAGCATAACATGTGCCAGTTGACATGCAGTGATCGTAAATCAATCACCTACATTTCAACTAAGCGTACCTATTTCTTTAGCACTTCAACTGCTGACGCCAACCGAATAACATATTTCACTGCCTTTTTGCCTACGACTTACCTACACATTCAACCGCTGGCATCCTATCTATCCCTTACCGCCATCCTTAACCACCCCTAAGACCTCACGAACAGCCTCTGCCTCCCGCTCGTCCCCTATCCCGCCTCTCTTACCGGTGTCGGCGCCGTTGGGCGTCACCGTTCCCTCGCTGCTCGCCTTGCTCCGAGCCCGGCTGCGGCGCGCTCGGCCTGGCCGGCCGGCGCTCGACTGTGACTGGGGAGGCTGGCGCAGAGGCGCCATCAGGCGCACACCTGGGGAAGACAGGGGCGTCACTGTGTGCGCGTCTAGGGGGAGGGCGTCATCAGAGACACACCTGCTGCAGCCGAGACAGGGGTGTTATCTTACTAGTTACTGTATCCCGAGGGGAGGCAAAGGCGTCGGTCAGCTAAGATGTTAGATATCGATTCAAAGTTTGACGACAGAATGAACTGCACAGTGTACAAATCTACATACATTTCAGGATTCCAACTTTGGATCAATGTGAATACAGACCACCAAGTCACATGACCGATGTCTGATACGAATATCCACCGATGGGCTGATCTGTTATTGAGCTACCGTTCGACTTTGTTGAACTCGAGATCGATCGACTACACTAAGCAGCCCATCGGGCAGGAGCGTAGGACAACCCCAATAGGTGTTTATACCGTAAGGTGGGGCTATTTGAGACAGTATTTAAAATTGCTATAAAATAAAAACCACTTAAAATTCATGCTTAATTTTTGCTCAGGCGATTTACTGCTCGATTCGACACCTTCCTGAGCAAAAATATCACATAAAAATCAAACGCTCTTCATTTTATAACGATTTTAAATACTGTCTCAAATAGCCCCACTGTCTCAAATAGCCCCACTTTACGGTATTTCAAACAGTAGCCCTCATATCGTATTCACGACAACGCTGACCAGAATGGAAGGCAGCTGCCACGCGGAAGTCCACGTACTTTTAGCGCATACAAACTAACCTCGGAAATGTATGTGGGTAATGTAAGGCGGCCACTGGGGCCGCATTGCAAACGATGCCCAGTACGTATAACCCAAATTGCTCCAAAGCCTTTAAATCTCGCTCTGATAGGGCATATTTCAAAGCACGAGCGGTGCGCAGAGGGGTGCATAATTGTATGGTCTCTGAAGATATAGTTAAAGGCAGCTTTCCCCAAAATAATGCGGCAGGGTGCAGGACGGTCAAGAGCGTCGAAGTGTTCATCTAACGTTAGACTGGGCCCGTGACCTGAGGTTAATCGATAATTCTGATCACAAACTACATCCAGAAGGAGAAAAAAAACTACATGCCGGCCGGTGGTTACTCACTGAGCGGTATGGTGCGCTGCTAAGCCGGATATGGACTGAGTGTGGTACTCACTGAGCGGTATGGTGGGGGTGGTACTGGTACTCACTGAGCGGTATGGTGAGGGTGGTACTGGTACTCACTGAGCGGTATGGTGAGGGTGGTACTGGTACTCACTGAATGGTATGGTGCGCTGGTACTGGAGGTGGGGGCTGGGGGTGGTGCTGGTACCCACTGAGCGGCATGGTGCGCTGGTAGGTGGGTGGGGGTGGTACTGGTACAGGTACTGGTACTCACTGAGCGGCATGGTGGGGTGGTACCGGTACTCACTGAGCGGCATGGAGCGCTGGTAGGGGTGGGGGACAGGGGTGGTACTGGTACTCACTGAGCGGTATGGTGGGGGTGGTGCTGGTACTCACTGAGCGGCATGGAGCGCTGGTAGGGGTGGGGGACAGGGGTGGTACTGGTACTCACTGAGCGGTATGGTGGGGGTGGTGCTGGTACTCACTGAGCGGCATGGTGCGCTGGTAGGCGGGCGCCGGCGCCGCCAGCGGGTGCGGGTGCGGGTGCAGCAGCAGCGAGTCGTCACACGACTCGGCAGAGCGGAGCCGCTGTCCGCCGTTCACCAGCCGGCCGGCCACCGGCGGGCCGGCGGACACCAGAGCCGGGTACTGCGCCGCCGGGTAACCCAGCACCTGAGACGGACACAAAGGGGGATAGGTCAGACCACGGGAGGTACTGGGCACAGCAGCCGGCCGACACCAGAGCCGGGTACTGCGCCGCCGTGTAGCCCAGCACCTGAGAACGGACCGCGAGTCAGAGACCAAGGGAGGGACAAAGGACAAAACCGATTGAGGAAAGTACGAGAATGGTGCCTTCCAAAACAAAAACAGAACGGTTCTATAAAAATTCATATCATGATAGCCGCTTATGTTAACACTTCACACCCACCCTTCTCACTGACCTGCTGTGACACGGCGGTGGGGTCGGAGGCGGTCCGGCCGGCCGGCACCGGGTACGTCTGCTGGCCGTAGAACGGCGCCAGCGGGTACACAGGCGGCCCCGTCACCGGCGGCGAGGTCACGTAGTAGCTGGCCTCGGCCGCCGGCGCTGACGACATGGTCGTGCAGCCCGGGTACACGCCCATGTACGCTGCCGGGAGACAAAGGGGGCGGTTAGACGAGGGAACCCGTGAGGCGTGAGAGATATTCGGTTATAAGATGGGTCATTCCATGGATCTCGATATACCGCAGTCCTTTATCTTCATCTTCGTGTTATCGGGGCAAGAAGCACGATGTCCTGTGGGGCCCGTTCTCACCGATTTCCTTAACTTCACTCTGTACTCAGTCTGTTACAGGAGTGGAGTACCAGATCGACTGCCAGTGCGCAATGGCCGCATCCAGCCTTTCCTTAAAGACCATGATAGTTCTTTGGTAAAGACCATCCTGTTATTTACCATGATAGATCTACATCGTTACAAAATACACATATGTTTACATCCCTGGCCTTGTACGATAAGGGACCTTCTGAATGTCCTAATCGTGCTCTAAGAGAGCTCTCATCGCGCCCAATCCATTATAGTCCCTGCCGACTCCCCTCTGGCTCCCCGGGACAGCCCAGATGGCCGAACGTCAATACAGCGGCGGCAGTGGGGCGGGGGCGGGGGCGCCGCACGCACACCGACCGGGAAAAGGTCAGAGTCGGCACACAGACTCAGTCGGGCTGAAAACGGCCCGAGAGCGGCTCAGAGGCCGCAGACTGGGACAGAGAGCGGCGATCAATAGGACGGGTGGGAGACGGCCTCGACCACTGGAAGGCTACTGAGTGTTCAGGCTAAGGGGCTGACGTGTAACCAATACCTATTAGTAAAGTAATCTCGACCAATACCTACATTAGGATGAATGTTGAATGACTGACAAATAAGTCTGGCACAGGCTCAGAACCATATTAAAGGTCTGATCTTGTGTCATCCTTACACTTTCTTCTGCAGGTGGACTAGCCCTACCCACCAGCTATAAGATATTCAATCGATGAGTTACGTCAATTCTATCCAGATTCTTTCACGTCTCCCTCCATCCACTCCCATCCCAGTCGCCCTTGCCCCCTCGATATTCTCATGTAATTCCCTCCACCCTCCCTTTCCTTCCTCTTCCCTCGTCCCTATTCCACGCACCTGTCTGCGGCTGCGGCTGGTCGGGGCTGACCAGGTGGTGGTACATGTAGCGCAGCGGCACGCTCGGTCCCGGCACACAGAACATGGCCTGCTGAGGCGGCGGCGGCTGGGGCGGCGCGCCGGCCGACGGCGGCGGTCCCGGCTGCGGCCCGCCGGCCGGCCGGTACGTCAGCAGGTACTGCTGCTGCTGGGCGGCCTGCTGGGCGGCCAGCTGGGCGTCCCCCTGACCGTGCTCGGCCAGAGTCAGACCCATCAGCTGGTGACTCACGTCGCCGCCCGGCTTGTCGGCCGACGGCTGAGGCTGCAACAACGGGCAGGAGGAGTGTTATAGTGTGTGGTCTGTGGGGGGTCCGTGGGCCAAGAGAGGTGGAGCATGTGGAGGTTGCAATGGCAAGGGGTATTGCTAGTGAACTACATGGAGAACACAGAACACGTCGCTGATGTCTGTAAAAGGTCATGAGCAGCACACGTCACATGCATGACGCAGGTATTGAGAGTCGTCAAATAAGTTTATGTTTATCCTGAAGCGGTGACGACCGTCACACGTTATGCCGCTTCTGCAAATCTACTATGTGCCCTACTGACACACTGTGGGCAATGGCAGGCGAGCGTTACATGCTACGTAGGCACGTGGCGTGGCCCACGGGGACCTGCGTGTCACGTAACGGAGCGATACTCGGCAGTGATGTCACGCACTGCGTTACTCATGGATGTTTGAAGAGTAGGTATTCGATCTCTATTCCACGAGTTGACCAGACAATCCTCGTGCGGGCTGTGTTTGCAATGTGACACACGCGACTGTGACTAAGCGACCTTTAGTGTTCTTTGTTTAATAAGCCGGCACACAACACAGCACGCAAGCTAGCACGCACACTCGTGACTGAATTACGTAAGCTGCGTGATAAAGAAATGTCCAGAATGCGTCTCGTGAACCATCCAAGTCACCTGTGAAATCATTCCTCTTCGTCGACCTGACAACCTGGCTGACTATCCCCACCGTTATTGACCAACAAAGTTACTCCACTTATTCCGTGAGCCGAAGACCCGCCCCTTAACTGTCAATGATCTAGAACTATGAACCTGAGAAGCCGTCAGTAATCTGGAAACCCTACATTCTGTCAGTGATCTGGGAGCCCTATCTGTCAGTGGTCCGAGTACCCTCTCCTCTCTGCTCCCTCACCTGGTGGACGGCGTGCGGCCGCGGCTGGCCGGCCGCCGCCATGGGCGGCACCACGGGGTAGTAGCCGGCCACGCCCGGGCCGGGGCCTGGCTGCGGCATGTACTGGACGGCGGGCGCCGGCGGGCTGCCTCCCGGCGCCACGTACTGCAGCCCGCCGGTCGCCGGCACGTACTGGAGCGGCGCGGGCGCCGGCGGGGGCGGCGGGCCGTCCGCGCCCGGCGAGACGAACCGCACGGCGGCCGGCGGGCTGGCGGCGTGGTAAGCGGCCGGCGCGGCCTGCAACTGCGCCGGAGGGCTGGCCGCGGCCGGTACCAGCTGCGGCGGGTTGGCCGGGTTGTACCGGTACACGGTACGGTCCGGGTTCAGGTACGGCTGGCCAGAGTGGGGGTCGATGATGACGGAGCCGGCGGGCACGTCCTCCAGGTTAGTGACGGCCCAGAGGACGGGCTGGCAGTCGCGGACTGGACCGGGAGCGGGGGCCACCGCGGGGCCGCCGCCGGCGCTGGGCCCGCCGCCACCGGCCGCCACACTGCCCTCGTCCAGACTGTAACCGGCCTGTGGACAGACGAGACACACGATCAGACTTATACACTCACAAGATCATGTTGTGACATTTGTTATCATCCTACACACGCAGCCAGTCATAGGCCAGGCACATACTATGAATTACCCGCGCTCTCTTCATTGTATACACAACCCCAAATAACACACCACACCTCCACGCCCCACTCAATAACCTAACTCAACACACCTTACCCAACACCCATCACACCCGTCATTTACCCGTCGCACGCCATAACCCCTCCATCCAATCAATCATCATCGCCGGCTCGGTGGCCGCTGCCGATACAACAGCCGCCCCGGGACCGGGTGTGTATTTCTGTCCATCGGCCGCGTGCCGGGCTGACGGGTCGCCCGAGTCACCGGCGGCACGTGGGAGGTCCTATATCGGTCCGGCGGCGGTGACGGGACACCTGGCTCCGGGTCGGACCGATACGGCCACAGGTAGCGACGGTGAGCCGATGGCGACACCGGACGTGGAGGGGAGGGACGGTACGGGGCTGGGCAGTGGGTGAGGGGTGGGAGTGGATAGCGGGTACTGGGCAGGGCTAGCCACTGGGCAGTGGAGTGAGGGGCGAGGTTGGACGGTAGGCCGAGTGGCGACGTTAAAAACTGACTGAGGCACGAGATAGTGCTGGACATTAACCCTCGCCCATGTAGGGGGGGGGGGGGGGTTGGTGCAACCCCCCCCCCCTGAGGTTTTTCGGAAATAGTGCAAAAACGGCGGCGCGCAGCGCCGCCAAATTTTGGGTAACTTATGGGGCAAACCTTGCGCATCTTTTGATAAAAAAATTTTGACCGGGTCATGTCAGGTCACGGAGTTATGACGTCACAAAGGGAACAGCCTCCGGCCGGATTTTCACAAACTGAGTGCCAACGCCCGAGGTTTCCTGCCGGTGGTACGGACATCGGTTGATGGATCGTGATGAAACTTCCCATGCATGTTGGGGCAAGTATTGGCTATCATATGGTATAAGAAACTTGACCGGGTCAGGTCAGGTCACGGAGCTATGACGTCACAAGAGGAACAGCGTCCGGTACTATTTTTGAAAAGCGCCCGAACCACTATTTTGCTAATTCTTGTCACCTCAATGGGAATATGCAGCAATATTAGCTTCTATAGGGAGCAAATGGACCTTCCAAATCCAAAAATACAATCAGATTTCAAAAATTTAAATTTTGATTTTTCGAATTTCTGCCGCCGACTGTGACCTTGCCGACTACCGGCGCTCCCAACGCGCCATTTTTAGAGCTAGGGAAACGAAATACATACCAAACGATAGAGAATTGATCAAGGAACACGATAGTGAAGGTTTCAAGTCGATATCTCCCACCGTTTTGCCGCAATCGCCGCGGAAAGTTGAAAAAAGTCTATTTTTCCGAAAATTTGACCTTTGACCGGTCAAAAGTAGGTCAAATGTTGACTTAGGACCAAAAAATATACCACCAATCGCGAGATCTCGGCGAGAGCAATCCGTTGGTCTTTTCCGCTAAGCTCTACGACGCTCCGTTTTCAAACGCCAAGGGGGGGGGTCGCACCAACCCCCCCCCCCCTGCATGGGCGAAGGTGGCAGATCGCCGTTTACGGGCGAGGGTTAAGGCGAGGGGCTGGACAGAAGGTGGTGAGGGGCGGGGCTTAGACGGCGGGTAAAGGCCGGGACTAGAAACTCGAGGGAGAATGAACTGCGGCGCGAGGGAGGCTTAGTGACGGGACGACGCTGAACGACGACTCGGCGTTGGTTGGCTATTTCTGACCGCTAACTGACCATCGTGTCCGACCGACCGGCACTAACCGCCGACGTCGGCCGGCACATTAGTCGCCAAAGTCGGCCGCCGCCGCCCACCGCGGCCGGGCTGACGACACAGTGGCCGTCGCAGCAGTCGCCTCGGCCTAGAACAACTCCGAACAGAAATGGACTACCATACCTGCGTCTATCAAAGGTGAGCTACACACACCAGCTTGAAAGGCGCAGCACTACGATTGCGAATCTAATTATGCAACGACGATTCGGTTCTGGTCGCCTAAACAGTGCTGAACAAGCTTCCAAAGCCTCACGTCGGGCGGAGACGGGGGCGGGGGCGGGGCGGCCGCCCAATCGGCCAACGATCGCCGCTCGGCCGGTCGTCAGGACAACCCAGGGACGCGGTGTGGCTGAGTCAGAGCAGCGACGGCGACGACGAACGGCAGACGACGACGATGACAGCATAGGACGGCAACAGACGACGGGAGAGCACTGAATGTCCAGTGCTCAATATCCAGCCGGTGCGCACCCCAGGCTCTCTCTCTCTCTCTCTCTCTCACTCTCTCTCTCTCCTTCCCCCTCTCTCTCCCCTTCCCCCCTCTCTCTCGCCCCTTCCCCCTCTCTCTCTGTCCCTCTCCTCCCTCTCCCTCCCGCAGTCCAGTCAGGTGATTTCAGCAGCACCAGTGGTGACTCAGAGACCAGCGCCGGTCGTTCCAACACGAAACAGCCACCGCCGCCCACACGACTCAGGGCCAACACGCACCCCCGCACGCAAACGCCCAAACACCAATGACAACGCGCACGCACCGGCCGCCGGTGAGTTAGTAAGGCACTGCACGGCGCCTCTGCAGCAGCAACAGAAATGCCGACAGAAGGAGGGAGTGGTGGTAACGCGACGGGGAATAGTGATTTCGGGGAAATGGAAGTGGGAAAAGTTTATTATTTTGACGAGATTATGATGCTGCCTTTATATTGCGATTTTATTAATAATGTCGTACGGTAATACAGTACAGTAATCAGCAATGCAGTGTAAGCTGTGCTGTCTTGATAAACAGTTAAATGGAAATGCACGCAGAGCTAACTTATCTTGGCGAACAGCGAACAACGCCCCAGTGCGTAACTAATGGAACAACAGGAAACTCCGCCAAGCGTTTTTGCTGTGGACGAGGCGAATTCTCCAAACAACCTTCAGTATTTTCACTTTACATTTTTCTTCGTTTCTGAACCTCGTACGAGCCATCCTGTTTGCTAGCGCGCTATTGCACCAGCTCCACTCCGAAACATCTACCCGGGAGCCACCAGACCCCTAGCTCCGGCCGGGAGCACACGCTCTCTGTTGGCCGAGGGCGGTGACGTCACAGACGATAACGATGTGGTCCAAGAAACCCGTCCCCGACCCGGCCACTGACCGAAATAGCCACCTTAGTGACCCTTCAGCTACCGAAATAAAACCCTGCTCGCCAGTGTCGGCCGTCGCCCTCATCAGAAGATGCATGCCGGCACTGTGAGCTGGCACACACAACTTTTATCAGGTGGTGTGGTAATGAGCGCTTGCTTTCCAGCAATAGCTGTTTGCTGATTTTCTAAGAAGGGACGACAAGGGCGTATCAGTGTGACAATGCACTCGACTGTGTGCGTTCAGAATTTCTAACAGAACTAAATGTAGCCAGGAATTTATGTCACAGGCTTACTCATGCCTGAAGAACGTAAGCTGTCAAATCGACCATTCTTTCCAGAAGTTCTATATAAAACTATAAGCTGGCGTCCAATCCACATCCGATCAACCCCAGCTTACAGCGTTACCCGGCAACTAAGCTAAACAGACGTCACCAGTATTTATCTTGAGCCACTCGGTCAGATCAAAGTATAGTCCATATAACGCCTCTCCACACACACAAATAAGGACAAACATGTCCGCGTATCGCCCACAAACAACTCCAAGCGATCGTAACTTCGCCGAACGCCGGGCAATTAATCGAAACGACCCGGGAAAGGCCCCCAGGCTTGCACGGCCTCGCCAGTCCTGCAAAACAGGCACTTATGCGTCGGTCGCCGGGCCACTTTTAATCGTGCTGATCGTACTGTGTGCTGAGCTGGAGGGGATTTACGGTAGGGGACGGGGAACGAGGGACCAATGGAAGCGGACCCTGACCTGCACTAAGGAATGTGACGATCAGACCCCAGGGTGGGGCCAGAGGTCGCAAAGGGGCATTGAACAAGAAACGTGCCCCCGGTACTACTAAGCAGGAATACCCACATTGGGCGCTATTAGTAAACGCTTGCAGTCAAATCAGTTAGCAGTCCGTTGACGGTGACGTCATTTACATGACGGTGTTAGCAGCGCCACATGACGCTGCAGTGGCCGGGCTGGCCTATCTTTACGCGTTACATGACGCAGCTGCAGCCGCACTGGCCTGCCGTCATGCGTTACGTTATGTCACGGTGACCAGACTGTCCTGCCGTCACGTGTATTTACGCACCTGGTGCTGTGAGGTGGGTGACGGAGTCGAGTCCAGGGTCACCTGGCTGACCGAGGCCGTCTTGTAGCCGCTGGACGGACTCAGGCGAGACACACTGCTGGCTGACGAGTCTGGAGAACACAGACAGATAGATCATAGGTCAGTGCATTTCGATACAGACTGGAAGCACAGGCCAGCGGACGGACTCAGGCGCGACACGCTGCTAGCCGACGAGTCTGAGCGAAACAGGGGAGAGGGACAGGTCAGTGAATTCAGACAGACCCGAACCTGTAGCCGACGAGTCTGATCATCAGAGACAGACGTGCGGGGCGGTCAGTGGATCCTAGGCACAAACATTCAGTTGGGTCACACAGAACCGTAGCAACAGTCATTTCACTTTGACAACAAAAAAAAAAAAACGATACAAACGGCAAATTCGTTCAGCCAAACACGCACACTTTAATTTGCTTCAGACATACACAACGGTCCACCGATTCATAGTCACATATCAATGGCGAATTGATTCAATTTCAATCTGGTACACAAACAGCTCCCCTATTCAGATAGGCACACAATGACAGTCAACTCAAACAATCAGGCACACGTAGGCGGCCAGTCGACTGGCTCTGGAAAGTCCCGTGGCCGCGGTGGAACGCGGATATATCAAATATCAGAGATGGGTATGGGTATGATGCAACAATACTAGCTACCGGGTTTTACGCCAGGAGGTATGATACTGTATTCTTATTATCTGCAAACCCAAGAACCCGCTCCACAGCATTATGTAATTGGAAGGTGTAGATATTCTTTTTAATGAAACATTAATTATCTTCTCCCCGATCCCTCGAGATTATTACTTATTAGTTATTGTAAAAGACGGTAGGTTGCGGAAGTTTCGGCCTAGGCGAATGCAATCGAAGCGGTGCTCTTATGATAGGAAATGGCTGTGTTGCTAACGTGGTGAGCAAATTCCGCTCACTGGTGCAGAATCATTGAAAATAAGCATACAGCACCATGGCTTTATCCAACCCATCTCATCCCCTGCATCAAAGATACGCCTAATCAGTCACAAGTACTCCAAAAATGCTTCTAACTTGTCCGTAACATCCCGTGGCAAAGCGACGTCCTACGCCAGCCCAGTGACGTCCCGTCCTCCCCCCTCCCCCGCGCGCGCCGCCGTCGTCGTCCGTACCCTGTTTGGCGAGCCGCGCGCTGCCGGCGCTGGCGGCGCTGTCGCCCCGGCTCAGCGGCGCCGCGCCCGTGTAGCCGCCGAAGCTGTGCGACTTGGAGACGCCCGGCGGCCGCATGCCGCCGCCGCCGCCACCGGTGGCCACACGCAGCGAGTTGCCGCTGGCGTCCAGACTGTCGGCGGTGTTGAGGCGGGCGTAGCGCGGCGGCTGGTCGACCGAGTGGGCCTTGGAGGGCATCTGTCGGCGGCAGGGGTCGGGCGGAGCGTCCAGCCAGCCGCCGCCGGACCGGCCGTCACCCGACCACCCGTCGCCGTCCAGCTCCTGCTGCGGGGGAGGGAGAGGTTAGGCTACTCGCAATGATAAACGAATGTGTGAAGTCAGTGAACGATGACAAATCATGACCAATGACCATCCCCCATCTAAAAATTATACGTGAAATTAAAGTATTTGCTAAACGTGCTTAAAAAACGGCAAAGCTTAACTACGACGCCCAATACCTCCACCCCTCCGCGTCTACCTGCTGATTGTTGAAGATACGGGTGCGGGCCTTTCGGTACTCGACCTCGCGCTCCTCGAAGCTGCGACTGCGCCGAGAGTCCAGAGAGTTGGGATTGTCGAAACTCTGCCAAATGGAAGACAGCCGGACATACAGTCAGCCGCCGCGCCGAACGTAATAAAAAGCTTAACAGCGGACCGGCGGCATCTACGGAGATATTAATGTAACACGCAAACGACAATGATGACTTTAGGCGCCGCCGAGACGGAAATCATTATATAACTATAGTACAAAAAAACTGTCCTGAGCAAACCAGACCAAAAATAGGACCTTTCAGGACGAGACATTCTGGAAAACATTACAAGACGTCTGCGAACATTGAAGAAGAACATTTTCTTTTCGCTGAATTAGTTTCAAAGTGATTACTTTTCGCGACCAGCTGAAAAATGCCAGGCATGGTACAAAGAAAAATATAATTGCTAGGGTATAGCTCAACTAACAAAGTGGCGTGCCGGAGCGAAACCATGCCTTGAATAATGCCCGTGGCGGTTTTGACGGCAAAAAAAAAAAACGCTGTGTTCTGACATCGCTGCTCATATTCCTGTCATCAGACTGCGCTGATGACTCACCGGCGAACACCAAGCGTATAGGAGTGTGTGCAAGTGAACAGGTGTGGTCGTACACTCAGCGGCAGCAGTGTTACCGCTCGCTGATCGTACCAACTCACTGGTGACAGCACCCCGCCCCACTCACCCTGGAGTAGTGTCCCAGCAGGCCGCGCCACTCACCCTGGAGTAGTGTCCCAGTGTCCCGCCCCACTTACCCTGGAGTAGTGTCCCAGTGTCCCGCCCCACTCACCCTGGAGTAGTGTCCCAACAGGCCGCCCCACTCACCCTGGATAGTGTCCCAGCGTCCCGCCCCACTCACCCTGGAGTAGTGTCCCAACAGGCCGCCCCACTCACCCTGGAGTAGTGTCCCAGCGCCCCGCCCCACTCACCCTGGAGTAGTGTCCCAACAGACCGCCCCACTCACCCTGGAGTAGTGTCCCAGTGCCCCGCCCCACTCACCCTGGATTAGCGTCCCAGCAGGCCGTCCCACTCACCCTGGAGTAGTGACCCAGGAGGCCGTCCCGTTTCAGCAGCCGCTTCGGTTCGTCACCGTCGTCTCGCAGCAGGTCGCGGAACCTAATGACAGACACCAGCGTCACAACAGCTTCACCAGTGTATCATCGATGGACCTCGGCACGGGGAAACACGAGACTGACGCCAATAACAGACACATGATACCCCGGTAGTAACTACACATGTCTATTGTGTAACACTGAATCTACACAAATAATATCACGAATAATATATAGCATTGATAATAAAGGCATCGATTTGCTTCATATTTTCACCCATAATCCCTCATTCGCAAAAATGAACAAATATCGCCCACAAAGTAACAAGAAAACCCCATTTCACGCAAACTACTAATGTCCATTCCCCTCATCCCCTTCCACCGACTACCCCTCTTACACTGTCATTCCACTGCCATCCCTCCCTCCAGCTGCCACTCTCTGCCTCACCTGAGTTCGGGCACGCGCGTCCTCTCGGTCTTGGACACGATCACAGACGTTCCGGTCGGGTCAACGTTGTGGTCCAGACCGAAGTAGACCGCCGCCCGGTGAACCAGCATCCGCTGGTAGGATGACTGAGGCGGGAACTTGAACTCGGCCCGCCTGTGAACGCAAGAGGGAGCGGGGTCAGACAGTGCTGCATAGACGAACAGATTCTACATGATTAAAGCCAACAATGTCATGTAATGTAATGGAGTAATGTGCGCAACGAAACGCCATAAATCCCAACTCGGAAACCTTTGCCATCTAAAAAAATAAAAAATAAATAAAGCAAACATCCAGACACAACAGCCTTACAACTGACATCCTCAATTTCGAATCGAATTGCGACGCTATGCTCTCAGCCCACCGACTCAATCCAATCAAACCTTCATCCCGGTTTCTCCTGGAAGTAAACCAGGTAGTGTTCAACACCCCACGCGTCTGGAAGAGTCGTCTATCGCCATGGCAACGGTGGCGTTCTGACTATCAAGTCTGCACGCCCGCGGGCGGATGACAGGACGGACGATTATATTAGCGCCGGTGGCGGACGGTGGACAGGCGAACACACGGCCAGAGCCGGTCTAATTAACCCGACAGTCACCACTGCAGATATTGCACGGCGGCCCGGGCGGAAGTACAAGGTGCCATTGGAGCTTGGATCGGAATATGAAGGAAGTGTTCCCGGGTCGCTTGAATTGTCTACGTCGGTCGAATGATGAGGTGCGAGGAAGCGGCAAACCGGACGAAGATTCAGACAAAAATGTTTCGATGGACCCGATAATGACAAAAACGGGACTACGCCACTTTGTCGAATGATTTTGACCCGGGAAGCTAGTTTATGTAGTTATTTTCTTGAGTCTCTCCCATCCTTTCCTCATTCAAGTGTTTATCCATCAGCTTTGGGAGACAATCCGTAAAAAGTCCCATCCCCTGCAGCCGCCCGCTGTTTTCGAAGTCTCCAGCCCCGCTCACTATCGACCCGAGCACAGCTCGAACAGAGAACTCGGGGAGACCGGGGTCACAATCGGGATCCAGCCGGGGAAAAACAACATAGCGTGGGCCGGGATCGGCACAGCTCCGACCTGCGCCGCTCGGAGGGCGAACTTGGGATCGAACTTCGAGCTCGGGGGTCGGGACTCCGTCGGGGTCGGGGTCGGGGTCGGGTTCGAGGTCGAGGTCGCACCCGGCACCGGCCGGCACCAGCCCCGCTCGCCACCCACCCGATCAATGATGTTATCGACGGCGCTCCCCGTCCGCGGTTCTGCGCTTCTCTTCTAGTGGAGCTAGAGTTGCTCCAGTCAGAGCTTCGTCAAGGGGAGACCCCCAGGCCCGGTTTACACTGCACACCTTCAGCGGTCTCCCGAAAGGCAGCGGCCAAAGAGCAGCGTTAGCCTCAGTGTCAATGTCAGTGTAAGTACGACTGTCAGTGTCAATGTGTAAGAACGACTGTCAATGACGAACTCTCAGAAGACCATCGGGCGTCGATCTGATGGTCATCATCGGTTAAAGCGGCTTACCGCTAAGCAACTGTCGGAGTTTCATACTTTAACCCTCGCTCATCGCATCTTACGATCGGGAGAGCCGTCTACACTTGTTTCACTTTTTAGAAGAGTGTTAAGTACACTGGACCAAGAATAGCCACAGCTGCAGTGGATGGTTCAAAGATGTGCAATAAATAAATAAATAAATAATTAATTAATTAACCCCGCTCCGACCAGTCCATCGACCACTGTCCCACATTGTAGCTTCAGCTGTAGGAGAGCATACGATAACAGCAGCAGCATATTAACGTCAGACCAGCCCACCGACCACCGTGCCACACCGCAGCTTCTGCTGTAGTAGGACAGACACCAGCGACAGCCCCAGGCAGAACCAGACAGACATCAGGCCGGCCCCGGCTTCTGCTCGCCGCTGGGTCAGTTATGGCGTTCCAGCGGCGATCAGCACCCTCTCTGGCGGTTGAATTTGACGGTCATGGCCGCGCTACGGCTCCGATAAGGCGTCTGTGGTTCTCACCAGCCGGCAGGCAGAGCAGCAGCTGCTAGCCAGCCACAGCAGAGCCGTGGTAATCCGAGTTTATCGGAGGGCTGACTTCGGAGGTCGGATGGGTGGCCGGAGTGGTAGTCACAAATTCACTACCAGCGATCCCATCAGCGATCGTCAAGTCTCCGACAGCGTCCTCTCAGCATCGTTCTCCTCCAACAGCCAGACATCTGTAGTGCGAATAGCCAAGCAGCACTATCCAAGAAAGCTCTGACTCCCCACCGGTTCCCTGAAATCCCAGTCTATACCGCTACCCATATCTGGATATTCAGTACCGTCTGTCTGTCTGGGCTGCTAATGCCGCCCCATCAATACTCAGCCAAGTCTCGGCAGCGGCGGAAGCGCGGGGGCGGACAGCGACAAAGGTGAGCCGCCGCCGCGTACTTACCGGCCATCTGCAGCCGACTTCGAGCGAGGGAGGTCGGCCAGCCGGCGCGGCGCCGCCGGTGCTCGGGTAATGGCTGGTTTAGGACACGGCGGTATGGGAGCTCCTGCCTCTAATGGTCCGTCAACGGCAAACGACCGACGCAGACCACCCCCGGCTAGAGGGAAATGGAAAGGGAAAGGCGATGGCTGCCGTGTTGTTTGAAAATGGAAAAGCAAGACCCAAAGCATGCATTCCGCACTCGCTGGTGTAGAATCAATTATGAGTTAGGCCAAACCTATGCACAAAACGAAAGAGGTCCTGAAAATGATATTGCCTAGAGACAGGTGAGCATGAAACATCAAACATGGAGCATCAAGATATTTACATTATCTGATGCCACAAGCCCCTTGTTCTCGACATCAACGAATGCGAACGAACGAACGAACTGTACTCCGTCAGACTACCAAAAACACCAAAAAGACCACTGCTTCCTGCCGCTAACCGAATCCCGACACTCAAAATGGATGACGAACAAGATACATTCCAGCTATCCATATATCAACGCCGAGGGCGGGCCAATCTAATTCCTTATTTATTCGTACATCATTCCCACATCTCAGAAACATCTCGCTGAGAAATTCGTCGAAAGGCCTTCAATTTCATTTCCGTAAAGAATAAAACAAACGCTTGGAGGAGCGGCGCTGACGGCGCCATCTTTCGCCGGAACGCGGACTCTCGGCAGCCCGCCGTGGGAATCTTCCCGGCGTATTAACGTAAATCTAGGACAACGACCACCAGCCCGTCGGTCTCACCAATCTTCGTGGACATCGGGCCCGAGTCCGGCCACCAGTTGCCGCACTGAGCTTTGGACATAGGCAGGATACAGCCTGGGCTTGTCGTGGAACCGCCCCAGTCGTTCCGCGAACCCAAGCGCGGCGCAAAACAGAGCGAGCGATCTGATAGTCTGCCGCCGCCCCTGGGCAGACGGTGGGCGGGTGACGGCGCGCGGGTAGCACTGCATGTTTTAGACACTCATTAGCCGGCGGACGGTCACGGCTGGCGGCGGCGAGCTGAGGTCGTCCTCCCATCGACCGCCGAGCCGCCCACCAGACACACGGACCGCACAGCCCGGCACAACGCCGAGCCGCCCACACGGCCCAGCGCCATTCAGAAAACACGGCACGCCAGCAAATACTGCGGCGGCCCGGACCACCGACAAACAGCCTTATCGCCGGCTTCTCGGAATAAGCTCGCTCGGTGAATGCGTTCAGCCAATGTTTTGTGTGCTATGAATCCATACCGTGCCGTGTCCCGGCCGCGGCTATTCTCTCGTGACGTCTCTGATGGCACGCAGACGACGCGGCGGAGGCGGAGGCGGGGTCGTGACACAGCTCAAGGACGGGGCGGCGGGGTCAAGGACGGTAGACGGTCTTCGGGGTCGGAGCAAAGGTGCAGAAAGCGTGCGGAAGGTCAGTTGAAGCGCCCAAGTCAGGACGAGGAAGGTGTCTTCTTTATCGAACCAAACCAATAGTCTCAATCTCAGCGCAACTGTCGATACTCCGAGTCACTATCATCGCGCTACTTCACAACGCCAGCAATACATCCCAGCAAATCTGACTGAGCAACAGGACCGAACTTCCCTCACCAGACGCCAGAGCGGGGTCAGGGTCAATGTCACGCCGGGGTCACCGAGTCTGTCTGTCGGCTCTCGGACGGCGACCGGTCGCGTGCCGGCCGGCCGCGACGGTCCCAAACGAGGCCGCCGATGGGGCCAAATCACCACTGCCAGCACACAGAGCGCCGCTCGGACTCGGATCGCCATAGCGTTACACGACTCGGAAACGAGTCACAGGGTGGAACGGCCCAACTTGACATAATTCAACGCCAATCAGCCAGAGGGCGATCGGTCCGGCCGGCGATTCATTCGACCTCGGCGGAAAACAATTGCAGGAACAGCCATCAACTTGCAATCAATAATCATTGTAATATTCAATCTTGCAATCAAGCTCCCAGTCCGGGGTAGGTCACGTACGCTCAACACTCCTTACACATTGTCGCCTGCTTGGTACCAACTAAGATCCCCTACCCTCCTACTGACCTCCCAGCCGTCCAAAAACACCGCCCCCGGGTGTCTGCAGGCCGGTGTGTTGCAGAGGTCAGCCCCCTGTCGTGTCTGACCCTCCCCCTCTGTTGGCGGGTGTGATTGGTGGTGCCGCCCAGTCGGCTGATACCGGCCCAGTAATCAGCCGATTGACCGCCGCGGGCGCCACTGACCGTGACCAGACTGTCTCTGTCTGACCAGTGACCAGACCGGCCCCCAGCCACGGAGCGGTACCGTCCCACGATCATCAACCATTCCTTCAGACACCCGCCCTGGCGCCCAGGGCTCGGCAACCTTCAGAGGTCAACAGCAGTCGCCTTCTCACGGCCTTGTCCTTCCAGAAAATGACGTCAAAGACTGCTAATGGCGGGATTCCTTATAAGATATTGACACCGATAGGAGTGGTGGGGTTCAATGACCTGCAAACCCAGCCACAAAGCATACAGGATGGTCATTTCTGTTAATCAAGGATTTCTTGCCCTCAGACAAGGCTTGAACATCGAGAGGCGTTTCAGTTTGGTAGCTCGGTGATGTTATAAGATTTCAGTACATCAGCCTTCTCCCTCCTTTAACCTCAAGAGATATAGCTATATGAATAGAAATAGGGTTTTCACCCATGACCCGCATGCTTCAACTGAGTTCCGCGGTGGTATATTTCGCCAGCATCTCACACTCGCTTCCTTGCCAGCTCCTGTATGCTCCCAGACTATTCTCCCCGGGTTGGCCCCGACCTTTCCCCGATCTGCCGGTCCGCCCACGGACGCGACCGCCGGTCACAGAGCCAAAGTCCAGACGGTTCCCCGGCGCCGCCCGGGTCAAAGGAAGCTCTCCGACAAAGGCCGCGCCAGGCCGCCGCCCGGTGCCCGCTCCCTTTATGGGCAAGGCGCACTGTAGGTCACAGCCACTGGGAAAACCACATGTGGGCCAATGCGCGCTGCCCGAGTACGTGACCGGCACACCAGCCACGGCATGGGCAAAGAGAGCAAGGTGACATTTGATTCGGAACCAGGCAGGGAGCGTTTTAAATTATAAAGTTAGATCAGCTAGGATGAAGAAGTTCCAGAGGTAGGCAAAATATTTACCGCCCAATTGAACCAAAGTATATCAAATTGAGCACAGTTTTCCTCCTCATCAATCGCGATTCCGCGATCTGCCTAACTCGTCGAGTGACTTTCGATCTGATTGGTTAGGGCCTGGGGGCCGATCTATCGAAGTGGTACGGTTATGTAACCGCCAAATTCGGTCACTCTAATTGACCGTTGGCTCGATTCTGCGACACGGCAGCCGTCGCAGTAAATCAGACAACTTTCAGGATAAGTAACAGTAACCAGGCAGGCGGCGACCGATGGCAGGCGGCGACCGGTTACATAGGTTAAAGTTGAGAACCAGGTGCTGAGACAGCACTCCACGATCAGTGTCACATAGTGGGGAGCCGGCCCTCCCAAAATGCAGCGCCACTGTGCTGGGGAGCCGGCTCTCCCAAAATGCAGCGCCACTGGGCTGGGAGAACGGTGGCCCAGCCTCAGAGGAGCCCCAGACTACGCGGAAACTTCATATCGGCAGTCATCAGTTTCAGTAGAACTATGGGCAGCGTCCGTCGTATGCACAATGCATAAATTTTCTCCCCAATTGATTAGCAGTAATGTATGCAGGCCTGCAGGCAATGTACATGTCGTGTACACATACTTCGTAACTTAACGGCGAAACTTCGCGATTCTAGTTTCTCGACCCACTAATTAAGGCTTAAGTTTGAACTACAAAAAAAAACATGCACAACTCCAATGCACAACTAACCGATTATAATGTGTGCAGTTTGCACTGTGAATGTATGTAGCTTTGCCGTCAGTAATGCTTTGGTTATGTCTTTAGAGCTAATACAGATAAGGTTCGACATTGGAATAAAATAAATAACAAATTTGCTGAGGCCCTCAAGCTCAGTCCTTATGGAAGCATCCGCCTGATTTCGTCAGCTACGTCGTAAGTGGTCGCGAGATGGGTCTATGATCATAACTCAGCCTTTTGGGGCTGGGAATGGTAGAGCCGAACATCAAACTCATGTCAGATGCGCTTATTAAAATGAACCAAAGCGTCACAACATGGAAACCCCTGCTCGGATAAATATTTAAAGCATTCCTGTGGTGTCCTGTGAAGACCACGCCACCGACTTGGGCTTTGTTTATCGACAAGGGTTCGGGGCACAATATCAGCTGTGAATAGCGAGGGACCGACTGTAAACCTTTACACAAGGCTCTGTCAAACGGAAGGCATCCAGGGGACATCCCAGGTCCCCGAAGATTTTTCAACATTACACAGGACATAGAGGGTAGGTAAATGGTGCATGAGGAGCATGTGATGCCAGGTGCCTCAGTTCACAAGTCCATGATTAAAAATCAGTTTGCTAAAGCGATGCAGGTAGGAGGCAGGGGGTAGAACAGACATCCAGCAGACGGATAGTTCAGCCCTCGTTGGTTTCAAAGGGCAGCCCTTAAGACCTTTGTCCGTGCATGGGAGGCCACTACCATACCTGGCAGCGTCCATCATGATCAATGAGGAGTCTAGCCCGCCCCCTGTTTGGGAGGCAGCGTACAGCGCCTGCTAAAGGAGTGCAGCCCTCTCCCGGCGCAGCAGACTAGGTACTCACGAGTTATCTTTGATGAAATGCAGCATGTCCTGTTCGTACTTGAGCAGGTGCGCCTGGTCCTTGATGTTAGCATTGAGCGCCTCCACGAGGAACTGCTCCACATCCACGCCCTTGCTGTCCATGTACACCTCGCCAGACGACTCTGGAAACGCACGCAGACAACATGAAATGGCGACGAAGGGCAAATTCACGAGTCACGAGGGAACTTCGCACCTCAGGCACACACATACAACATGCCACCAACTAAGAGCGGTCGAGCTAAGAATCTACATAAATGAACCATGCATCATAGCACGACATAGTCCACTCATCCCTCATTCTTCCTCCTGTCCAGCTACTAGTCCCTCCCCCCCAGCCACCTTCAATGCCGTCCAGTCATACCCCCCTCCAGCCCCCCCCCCCATCTACCCGTCCAGTCCGATCCCCCGCGCCCCACCTGCGGACAGATGGGGGCTGCCGGCGCGGCCCTCTGCGCTGCCCTGGCTGTGGAACTTGCGCAGCTTGTGGCCGTGGGACACGTTCAGAGAATACCGGGGCGGCGGAGGAGGCGGCGGAGGCGGCGGCGGAGGCGCGTCCACCTCCGGGGGAGGAGACGTCTCCTCCCGCATGGCGTGGCTACGCATCAGTACCTTGAGCCGCGCGCTCTGAGGGGAGGGAGGGACAGAGATGTCAGTCAGGAGGTGGTGTGGGGAACAGCTATGCTACTACATACAGACGGAGCTACATGGCGTGAGAGAAACGCAGACTGACCAACACACTGACACGCTCAGCTCCAATATCAATACCAGTGGATCAATGCTAGGCAGTAGCCATATGTGAGTAGAATTCTGTATGTCTGCTTTTTGCCATCAACGTGATCATCATCAAACTACCATCCGAATTCCTGTCCATTGTTTAACGTTTTACCCAAAAGCCCGCACCAGAATCCGTCTTATTTACTGTCTTGCCAAGGCGTCAATAAGATCGATGAAGGAACTAGCGGCACACAATCAATCAGCATAAAACAGCAGCGGAGCAAACTTCGGTGAATCAAAAACCGTGCCCAACCTGACACCAGGACAGACAGAGTGATACAAACGGGACGGCATCAGTATCAGAGTCAGTCCATTGATCGAGACGTCATTATTTATTCTGGCGGATGATTATTGCAGCGTGAGAGCAGTCACAAGCTGCCGCGTCCCAGAGGCCAGCGGTAAAAAGGAGCATGCAAGGTACTCTGATCAATGATCTTCACTGGGAAACCATCATCCTAAGGTACAACCGATCAGCGCATAAAGCCGGTCAACGCTCTGACGTATCTGCGCGAGCCACTTAATTTACAGCTAGAAAAAACAAAACAGCAAACATCAATTCATTCCACTGAAAGCCTTCACGATCGGCGCGGCCTCCCTCGTCACCTCGAAGGCCGCAGCACACAAAACCCCAGCTCTTTGTTCTCAAATTACCGCCAAGGTCTGGCGGCGCGGCGTTTGTTGTGTCTCTGACGTCACTGGCGACCCCAGTCGATTGGCCGACGGTGACCATGTAGCGTGATCGACGCTCCGGAGACGTGCGCTGAACATACGCGGTCACCGCGGTCACACATTCCGCCGACAGGTGAGGAGCCGATGACCATTTCCAGTGCGGCCAGTACGACCCGACACGCACCCAGTGACGTCAGAGACGCGCCCAGTGACGTCAGAGACACAGGGGAGGCTGTCTGAGGGTTCCTGTGAACCCCCGTCAGAGCGGGAGACCGTGCAGGACGGGGGTTCACGGGACTCGGCGGATACGGTAATGGGTGCCAAAGGTCGGCTCTAGCCAGATGGGTGTGCTGTTATGGAGCCAGGCCAATATTTTGTTTTCGTTAACTAAGGCGAATCTGGTGCTGTTTTGGCGCCTTACTAACTCTTCGACTTTCAGTCTGTCAAATACACTCTATGTAGCTCGGTGCCTGTCAACATTTTAAAACAGTCTATCTGAGTTGCTCAGCTCGCCACCTACAGGTAGATACATGAATAATGCTCGCCTTTAGATGTCAATGTTCTTTTTGCAGAGGGTGGCCTAGCTTACATCTCTTGGAGTTCTGCGGCTAAATTAACTGCCATGGGTGAAAGAGCTTATCGCAGCAAACAAGCGGTATATTGTATCTTGGCACAATGAATATCGAACGATGGACCACAATCGCGAGCCAACAGTGGCCGGCCTCACCTTCTCTTTCTAAAGCCCTCGCCAAACCGAAAAACACCTTTGTTTTCATTCGGATTAAATTACGAATCGATTGAATAATAAATTATCGCGAGCGTCAACGACGCAGACTGATTTAACTCACGTCACCCAGTATTCCATTCCTTCATATCAAACGACTGGCAGCAACGTTTGCGCCATGACAAACAATATAACGCTGAACGGAGGAATGGGCGTGGTTCCGAGCTCACAACCACTCGGCACAGGCCCAAACCGAAAACAGGCGCCCGTCCAGATCAATGTGAAACACAACACAGAAACAGTCACGGACCGAAGCAGCAAAGAAATTCGACGGCAGTTCAAAGGAAAACAACGCCTTCATCTTCTCAGAAAGAAATACAAAAGAACTTTTGTACTTTTTAAAACACCAAGTAGGTAGGATGGATGATCAAATACAATGGAAGCCGTCTTCTCATTACAGCAGTCATCTGCGCCTTAGTCTAATGCGATGTTCAACATGTATGAAAACTTCTACAGAAGCCCCACATATTCTGAGTTTGGCCTTGACCTTGGCAGAGCTGTGGAACTTCTATGATACGTAGTTCTCTCGGTCATTTGCCCGGATGAACGTTACATTGCAGCGTTCTCCGTCACATTCCCGGTTTCAATTTCGGCGTAATTAGGGGATAGCTGGGCACGGCGGTACGCCCTTACTCCGGTCCGGTAGTTGGGCGCGACTTGTACGGACACTACGGCCGGTATATGGCTGTTCTGAGAAGCGTGCGCCGTAACCCACTCTCGTCCAGCTCTATCTGGGTCCGACATTTCTCTGCCAGAGCAGTATCAGCTGCCCCTTACTCTCCGACAGTATGCGTCGTCTCTCGGTCAGTCAGCGGCATTTTATCTGTCTGGGCAATATGTCCTGCTTTTTCTGATCGCCTATCTAGATACATGTACAGGTCTCGCGAGATTAAGCGGTAGGTTTTGCACTTTTACATTTCCGGTTATATCTCAGAAACTAATCGATCTACGATAAAGCCATTTTACACGATCATGGCCGGCTTGTTACCCAACAAGTCGATCGCATCTTCAACACTTAAAAGCTTAAGACGACGAAGATATAGCCTGAAGTACACTAAATTTTCTAGGTGCAAAACCTACCGCTAAAACCCGCGAGACCTGTACCTTCCCTCACCTCTCGGCAGTGTGTCCCTTCCCTCACCTTTTGTCTGGGCAGTGTGTGCCGTTCCCTCACCTTTTCTCTGGGCAGTGGGCAGTGTGCGCCGTCCCCTCACGCCTGAGCAGTGTGTGCCGCTCCCTCACCTTTTGTCTGGGCAGTGTGTGCGGGCCGTGCTCGCTGTTCTGCGCCGGCAGCTCCAGACTCCGGCTCTGCCGGGTCAGTCCGGAGACCGGCGGACGCTCCGGGCCGCCCGGACCGGCGCCGGGGCCGTGTCCGGGTCCGGGTCCGGGCCCGGTGCCGTTCCGGGCCGGAGCGCCCTCCTCGGCCGCAGACACCGGCTCCAGCACCTCTTCCTGAAAAACGGCGGAGACGCAACGGTCAGAGCATCGAAATGGGCAGGAAGCGGTTCTTCACACTCTCCTGAGTATTTCATAAGGGATATTGAATTTCAGTCACATGCAGCCAGAACCATGATACCAAGAACCAGGCCGGGACGTCGCAGGCAGGTCTCACGGGATATTGCGGGGAAGTCTGTGTGGCCTCTCCCAATCAATACACAGGGCACGTCACGCACAGAGCGCCAACATCGGCGTCGTCACAGCTGGGTGAGTACCCGTGGATTCCCCGGTCAGATTCCAGCACATCGGTACTTCCTCCCGCATCGCTCCGACCCGGCAGAGGTCAGATCCGGCCCCGACGACGGACGGTGGAGCGCGGTGCGTCGTGTGCCACTCGGCAGGTACCGGTCAGTGATGACGTCACTGCGGTACCGCAGCCGCCGCCGCACGGGGTCAATACGAACCGTGCGGCGGCCGGCACGTGTCCAGGCCTGACCCGACCTCCACCGGCGGAAACGACACTCCACCGCCACCGGGCGTGGGCGACATTCTGACCGCATTAGTTGCAATGAAAATAAAATTGAGACGCCCAAAAGGCGGGCAGGCACGTTGTTTGCTGGCGCCGTGATTGGAATTCAAGCGTTCGATACAGTCAATTGAGCAGGGAATGGGCTACACAAACAGCAGAGCGAATAGTCAGTGTTACGTTGACTGCTTAGCATTTCCAATCCAGAACATAAGCCAGAGGCAGAGCACGCCACAAAACACTGGCTTTGAAAGCAATCGCGACCCAATCAATAGCCTTTTGCGCAGAGTAATACCTACATCCGAAAAGTTAGGAAAACATTTTGTCCAAGGATGCATACAGCCATACAGAGAAGATGTTTGAACTAACCACCGCACAGCTGACCCTTATACTTCCTGCCCTGCGTCATCCACACCATGCCCTGTGAGGACGGTCTCCCCTCGCCATATACTACTGATGTGAGCGCCAGTGGGGCGCCGGTGGGGCGCCGGTACGGACCTGTTTGGCCGGTGCCGATTCACCGGGCATCTCCGAGGGCGGCGCCGGTGGTGTGCCGCTGGCAGCTCCTCCCGCCGAGCCGTTACACACTACGATCGCCGGAACTGGAGACAAAAGGGGTCAGACAGGACCGTCAGAATTACAGAACACAGGAGGGAACGAGACGTTGTGCGGTGTCGTTAAGGGGAGACACGAGACGTTGCAGCGGACACGTCAGAATAGAGGGCCGATCTCAGCTCGGCCGAAATTGGGAGCTCATCGCATTGTTGATTTATCGTGAAACTGATTGAGAAAAATATGCTTAGCTAGCACCTATCGCTAATCAGGACGATAATTCAGGAAGCTGTATCAAAGATGTAAAGGGACTGAGTTGGATACGAATTGCTAAGTAGTGTGCAAGAATAAAACACGATTGAAGAGTCAAAAAGTACTCAGGGAAGAAAAACATCCCCCAATATTATGTGCTGCATTTGAAATCCAACACCCGACAATTAATGTAAAAAGAACGGAGCAACACGCCGGCCGGCCGGTCAGCCGTTAGCGGAATCGGTGTCGTGACCGTTACCGGCGCCGGTCGTGACGTGCAGCCCAGGGCCGTGCTGGCCGGTCACACATTTACCGCTGTCACGGCGGCACTGCCTGGTGTTGGGGACGGTGGTAATGGTGCGAATGGAACCGCCAGGCGCGGTGGCTGATGGCGAAACGGATTAAATGTCGGTGTAGTTATGAACATGACGAGAATTTGAAATAACACTACACCGATTAGAATTGTAAACGTTCGGACACAGAAAGAATAAAGTAAAAAGAAAAAGATTGGTGCGTTGTGAAGTTATAAAAGAAGCGCAAAACGGGTCCAGCATACCAGCAACCTAACATTGCTCGGAGTATGTACATATATTGCCTAACATATTTCATTTTACCCAAAAGTAAGATCAAACAACGACAGCGGATAGTAAACTATAGCACGGTCTCGAAGATACCCTAGCATATTCACTGAGTCAAAGCAGGCCACAGCGGCAACAGTCGATTGGAGTTGCGGACTCATTGGAAAAGAGACCGTTCAGGTAAGGCACAACGGCGCGGTTGTAGCGCAGGATTGAGCGACTAACCGCGCAGTTATTCAGTAGGACCCGGCCTTCAGACTGGTATTCAGAACGAAATGGAGAGAATCCGTTGGCCATTTATAGCATGTCGATCGATTGGTCCCGACGATCATACACGACGAATATGGGCAATGGCCTCTGGGGCAATGTCTGGGGCAAATACATTGCCCAATACATAAGGCAATGTATATCTATAGAAGCGTGTTACACGATGGTCCCGAGACATTCACAGTCGCACAAATACAATCACACTGACTCTCAACTAAGAGTCGATTAATGCTCCAACAGATGCAAGAGATGCAAAATAATGGTTGACATATGGAATGAAATTGAAAAATAAAGGAAAGTGAAGCACCTAATGGAAATCAATTTAATAAATCAAATACGGCAAATATCTTTGACTTCTTTGGTTGGTCATAATATTCTAGCATGTTCACTCAATGGGCGATTTCAACCGTTATCGTGATAGGAGAACAAGACGACTTTATGACGTAAGAGATTCCTTTCCGCAAATAGAGACTTTTGTAGTTCATTCACACAGAGGCATGCTGTTTTACAACAGACCATTCACAGTTTACACATACACGCAAACAATTCATACAAACAGACAAATACACAAAACCAGACGCACACCAGTGGCACAGCTGAGATCCAGCATTTTCGGCTAGGCCACTTCGGGAACCGGCGAAGGGCGGTGCTATGGGGATCATGGCTCATGCCGTGTGAAGCGTAATGGATATCATAAGGACAGATGCAGATCCTCGCCGCGGTATTACGATTAGGTCGCTCACAATATTGTGTTCCATCAGGAGGTTGCGGTACAGCTGAAGCACCGAATGAAGTCAGCTGAAGCAGCCGCACTGACCTCTGTTGAGTGGCTGAATTTGTACACCCCGCTGGTAAAACCTCGCATATACCTACGTCCAAACGTCCTGCGCGGTGGGTACAAAGCACCCTCAAATCTCAGGGCATTCCACAAGGTACGGCCTCACACGAGCGAGCAAACGGGCGGCCGGCCACCCTCCCGTGCTGACCTTTGGACACAAATCCATTCGGCGCCGGTCTGCACGAGCGCTCGACATTCATCGCGACCTGGCTGGCCGTAATGCACATTGGGGTCGAGTACCCTGTTCATTAATTTAACCTGGCTCGAAACCCAAAGGCCGACTGTCTCGGCAATCATAACAGGAGTCCACATCAGGCCCGGAGCGTGAGACGGCCTCCACATTATTTCAAATGCATCTCCGTGGCCGCCGGTTTTCAGATGTCACAGCTCACTTTATTCTAACGCTTAGCTTAGCTCAACGGCGTGAGCTCGTCGTCTAAGTTCTCTTTTACCCGGCGAGTACCACCGCTCACCCCCTGGCAGGCCAGCCGCGTGACCTAATGGGTGCCGGCACCACCACCAAACACGGGAGCTGAAACGACCAATGGCCGTAGACCATGCACGGCTGGCCGAACTGAGGGGCAATGGCGGTCGACTGGGCGGGACAGACCAAGACCACGGACCTGGCTGTCACAGACCAAGCAGGCCGCAGCCGCTCGGGATTCAGTACGTTGATGGAATACTTCACGGAACGTGGCAAGGCGTCCACGTTCCTTGGAAACTTCCTGAAGCAGGAAATACGGAAACTCTAGAGCGAAAGTATGTCTGATTGATGACTGGAAAATATCAGTCAAAACTTAAATGAAATGCTACAATATCATTAGGGCGGTAACAGTTCGGATTAACGAGCTGACGCGTACAGAAACTCAAGAAACCTTGCGTTATCCCAAGACTGATCCAGCTGCCAAGCCCTCCGACTGGGAAACCTTCAGCCGTCTATGTCGGCGTCAGTGGGAATGTTTCCCGCGCCGTCTGGCCGAGTTTACCTGTGTTTACCTCAGCCCGCTGAGCCGCAGCACCCCCCGGGGAGCTGAGGGGCGGGGCCGAGGGGCTGGAGGCTGCCAACATACAAACGCGAGCGCTGGGTGCGCCAAGGACGGCACAGCGGGACGGCATCGCCCGCACAGCGGGGGGCGGTTCGTCGCAACGCCGCCGACGACGGCCGCTCGCCGGCATATGTGGGCCACGGGGGAGCGCGGGTCACCCGGCGTCTGGTGACCCAGAGTCTGGTGACCTGGCGTCTGGTGACCTAACGTCTGGTGAGCGTCTGGTGACACAGCGACCGGTGACCTTGCATCAGGTGACCTGGCGTCTGGTGACCCAGCGTCTGATGACCTAGCGTCTGATGACCCGCTTTAGTTGACCCCGCCTCTGGTGACACGTCAGCGGTGGGGGCGAGCCACGACGGTACGAGCATGCCACAAGTGACTGGACGGCGCAACATGCACACTGCAACATCCGTGAGAGGCGAGGACAGCAGCCGTCCGCGTGTGCAACACGAAACGTGTTCAGAGGTCCAAAAAAATAACACGGATAACAATCCAAAAATGTGGACACCACACAGCCACAAGGCCATGCCCGGGTGAAAATGTGCAACAGTGTCAACGAAGAACAGATGATCACGAGTGGACGAGCATGTGGAAAAATGTGAGCAGCGTGGGTGCTGGCGGATGCAGTCAGTGGACAACACCAGTGTTTCGGGGTGCAGGAGTGCTTTGACGCCAGTCGGTGCCGGTGAGTACGACAGACGTCACCAGCGAGTGCGAACCGGCGGACCGGCAGACTCCACGCGTGCACCCGGCACTTACTGTCGGCCCGGCCGCTCTCTACGAGGCTGGCTACGGTTTGCATAGCGGCTGAAGGAGGGACCGCACGGCGCCGGCGGCGGGCGCCTCACGGGCGGGAGAGAGAAGCGGCGCAGGCAGAGAGAGGGAGGCGCTGCGGGCGAGAGCCAGAGCGGGAACGTCGGCCGACGCACAGACAAACGTGTACGGACGGCATCGCCGCCGCGGCCCGGCAGAGCAGACACAGTGCCGGCCGTCTGGCTGCAGGGCCGACTGGTTCATTTCAGAGTCAGCGCAGCGGCTATGTTAGGAGTTAGCACAATACGCCGCTGAGTAAATTCCACTTCCTATCGGTGATAACACGGAATCAGACGGGAACAAAACTACCCAACATAAATAACTTCAGTCTGGCCGGCGGCTACCCACACGCGCCTGACTCCGCTCGGCGGTTCAGTCCGGGGAGAAGTCACTTCACCGAGCACGAGCCCCGCCGCTGTCACGTGTCTGCCTGGTCACGTGTGTCAGATCACGTGACAGGTGTCAGACCAGCGCATAGCGTGACCCGCAAAACATCTCCCATCGACCATCCTCACACCACGCCTTCTTCTCACAGAAATCCCCCGACATTAACACGGTCAAACTGTAACCCAAACAGTCACACACAGCACAAACACTGAGCTCTACTTCCACACACAGCACCCACCGACCACACAAACATCTCACCACCAAAACAGCCCCACAGAAAACAGAGCCGCGCCCCACATCGACAGGCACCACGAACCGACAGCTACCGAGAGCGAGATAACGCCTGGCCAGCCGATTACACATTCCACTAGCGCACTGGATCCACAGCTCAGCCTTATTCACGCCATGGTTAATGCATGAGGTTCGACCTGGTGACATTAGCGGCTGCGGTGGTACAATTTAGTGGTGCGTTCTCTCCTGTCATGGGGGAAGGGGACACCTAACTATGCCACCAGACGCCTCGCACGCACCTGTAATTGTTGGACGCACGCACCCCACCGCCAGACCAGCTGTGGCGGGGGAGGCACAGGGGGACATAGGAGGGGAGGGGAGACGGAAGGACGGCTACAACGATAATATAATGCCATGACAGTACCCTGATGCTGCAAGCTATCGCCCCAGTATCTTATCCACCGTAAAAAGCAGGTTGGCCCACATAAGACAACCACCAAGATAGCGTCATTGTGCAACGGTCTCATCTCGAGCCTAACACGAATAAGCCCTTACTTTGGCACCTAACTGAGGTGTTCGTGCCTAACACAGCCGGTCATCCGGTTGTGAGCCAAATCCGATGGTCGGTACGCGAG